ACGATAAGTAACCATGCGTCGATCCAATGTTACTTTGATAGTTACAGAATGTCACTCAGACTAAAAGATTTTACGCTGATCAACATTTTGTACCATGGAAATTTCACAGCTGACAGAAGAATCATACTTCCCAGACATCCAGACTGCAACTGTGGACACGTTATATGCTTACAGATTATGAAAAATGATCTAGAAACAGGTTTTGCCCAGTAATGATATTCCTATCCCAGGAAATAGTGTAGTTGAACGTAAGCATCGACTGAGTATGTGCAACAGGTATTCCGAAATGTTTAGTTGATGAACCTTTGAAACTCCTTAGATCGATTACCTAGCATTTAATAACCTGTAGTTGATTAAATGACTGTTCCAATACACATGAAATGGTACTATAGCCTTGTTTACATTGAAATAGCAAAGTATGATCCACTACTGCATTGAATACAATGTATAGAGACTTCCCACTTACGAATAGCAAAACAATAGTAAACACAGTGGGTTTCTCAATGGATACGAGGAAGACAAATAAAATAAATAATTCTCGAGAAAGATATATTACTGATTTGAAATTCAGTATAATCGGCTAGCTATGCTCTAACACCTGAACATACACATGAATGAAGAATGATGAGGTGTTGACTGGTACCGAAAACGCTTTCTTACAAGTGAGCAGTAAACTATGAGGTCTATGGGCTTTAAGACGCAAACAGACACTCTCCAAAAAGATGAAAATCTGTGACACGGGTCAAATTTGGTAATTACTTAGTTCTAATAGAGTAAATAAAGTGGAAAATGCAATTTTCATCAAGTAGGCAACTTAAATTCATCGTCAGGAAACAATTGAATTGAATATTATTGAGGCGTCGTAAACGAAAAGCAAAACTGATTCCAGTAGCTCTATGGAAATTTGATGGCTACAGTGATAAAAGTAACTAACAACAGCTCACCTGTAAAGATTGAAAATAACTCTGTCCATGTTCAATAAGAAGTCGTGTGGATTCCGTATTATTCACACAGTACTCCACATATAGTTCAGCTAATCGATCACTATGCACAACAAAACAATGTCCAACATCTTCCGGCAAGAAATCACCACTCTCAGTGTATTTGGCCAGTTCAGGTTCAAATGTTTCCTTATGGAATTCATATATCATGGGCATATTACCAAAAACAATGTCAACTTGACCAACAAGTCCAGATGGCAACTAGATAAGTAGGAAGAGATGATAAGCATAATAAAGTTAACAGGATGTACAGATAAAAGGAAAAATGATTCCATTATACAATCTATAGGGAAAAGCAAGTATTTAGCGGAACATTTACGATTAATTGGAAAATTACAGGAAATCACAAGTTGAAGGTAAGTGAGAAGTACTCTTTCATTGATAAAACTGCTGGTCAGTCTAGGTAACTGCTGTAAGTAATAGGAGGTTCATGTCTTGTTAACAACTAGAAAATTTAAAGAGCATCATTAGCCACTCAACACTTGAGTTTTGAGTCACGCATGGAGTTGATTAGAATTCATGACCTAATCAATGGTCAAGCAAGTTAGCTGGATAAAATAACAAACACTAACCTTATTTTTAAAGTCCTTAACAAATAGGTAGAGTTATCAGAGAAAAATACCATATTACAGTATATATGTAGTTGCATTCGAAATTCATCACTAATTATCTCATCATCTTATTAAATGATTAACCATGAGAACATGAGCCATCTAAGTAAGATTAATATTGAAATATATTATGATCACGGGGACAAGAGATTTGGTTTATTATGACCTGGAAACGCATTCAGCTTTCCCCTGTACATAGTGTTGTAGAGATTCATGGACTAAGAAACTACTTTGTGCACAGATGCTGAGAATTCTCTAAAATTATATAAAAGTAAAAAAACTAAAAACCCCACTTAGATCAACCTAGGTATTTAAATCTTATTTTTGGCAGTTAGCAGTAAAACTTTAGAGCTACAGTTGTACAGGACTGTACGGTGCTCTTAGATACTACAGTAATATGTCTTTTCTATATAACTTGATAAGTGGTTCTCAAAAAAGAAACTGATTCTCAGCATTTCCAAAGCCGAAATATAAATAATGAACTTCTTTTGAAATCATTTAACTTCTCTGCTATTATACAATAACATAAGAGTAGAGCAGTCCTAACAAAGCCTGACAGAAGTAAGGGGAAATGTTACTGAGCTAAACAACAACAGGTACTAGGGAAGACAACTCAGCTACAGTCCTAGACTTAGGTTCTGTGGTTGTTAGTAATTGTCAACTAGGTATAACGAAAACCTCGAGGGAACTGGTGTCCTCTTAAAGAATCAATCCGACACCACTTAGAGCTACATTAGAGACGTAATCACTGTGGCCGATCTTCTACAAGTTTAGATTATGCTAACTGGTTGGTTATTGAAGAGTTATCAATCACACGTTGTCTAGTCCGAAATGCTGACCAAATTGTGTACTGTTGTGATCCATTTTTAGCACTAACATTGAGTCTTCAAACATCTCAGTGACCTCCAACCTCGACAGTAGTACACAATACCTCTAGACAGTACGGACGACTGATCAGAGAAGTGATACACTTGTACGAAGTTTTGCTCTGGTCCCCCTAACTTTCTTTCGGGTTAACCACATTTCAGTTAGCATTGTTCAATTTTGCATAAAGCTGCTAAATACTCAACACCTAACTAACAGAGCATAAGGTTAGGTCTCCCTCACCGACTTGAATACGCACATACTTAAATGCGATCACTAGTCGATAAATAAACAGGCTGAATAAAAAACTTAAAACATGAACCACGAAAATGACAGGTGACTTAAGTTTACCAAAAGACGCCGATGCAAAGTGTGACAACTTGCTATAGTGAAATGTGACAACTTGAGCCTGTGCACTTTTGTGCGAGGTTCTCCGTTGGTTTTATCCGTCTTTCTGGTTATCAAAATAAAACTATTGTATTACTCACCTGAGCAGCTAACATTTTAGGCGGACTAACCAAACCTTTACGATACGTTTCCATACACTGTTCTAATGACTGTACATAAAGTCTTTCGGTTTGGATTAGTTCACGGAGTAAGTTTTCCCGCCGACGTGCTAATCTTCGTTGTTCTTGTGTTGTACCCGAAGCGGCAGCTGCAGATGCTACTATATATGAGTCATTAGTAATACTTGCGCTTGTACTACCACCTGTCCCAGAACTACTTGTGCTTGACACTGATGTCCTACGAAAATTAAAAATAAGTATGGTCTTGAGAAATATGATAATTCTTACGATATATATATATATATATATATATATATATATATATATATATATATATATATATATATATATATAATGTGATAGCGTAGTAGTAGTAGAAAAGGCATCAGTCACTAGACCAATTAGCTTCAGAGAAAATGACTACAGTCCTCCTACATTTTCGAGCCTAAACAAAAAGCGTTATATACCATGTTACTTGACACAAGTTGAACAATAAAATAGAGCAATTGTTGGTGTTCAACTTTAAAATGAGCCTCCAGGTCTCTCCGAATTTTTTCGCCGAGTCAACTAAGTTAGCAAAGTGGATGGATGCTCACTGTGTACCAAAATCGTGATAGATACAATTGAAGTTGATATATGAATGATAACGGTCAATTTCTAATAGCGTTTATGAGTATGCTTTTCAGAGTGAGAGGATCTCGACAGTAGTGTAGTATTAGCTCCTGATACGCTTAAACTTTTGACTTGAATGTGGTTGTATCATCGTAAACTACGAAGGTGAGAGATATAACAACAATAAACCCAAATGGAATAATAGCATAATCATACACAATTGTTGAAATTTCTGTTTTCTCTTCTAAATTAATATTTCTAAACGCAAAAAACCCGTGTAATTTTGATATCAGTGTCCATAGAGATCTGGACATTTATCTAATTAAATTCTATGCTATGAGATTTCTTCAATTTCCGTGTTATGAACAAAAACATACATAGTTTTTCTAAATCAATGAACAACCATTGCAACTAAGCACTACAATACAACCCACCACATGTTTATGTACCAGGCTATGCACTACACCTACTGTGATAGGGCTTACGACACTACCTGATTGTGCATGCCGAAGGTGTGCGACCGGGTAGTACAGTAATAACATATATTCCCTGTAAAATGCATTTCACTCACAGTTAAGTCAACATTTACTTGGACTCTACCAACAGTTTTCAAACGATAATCGACAATTTTTATAGAAAAATTCTGCTGTACTACTGCAGGTTACTTTCACAAATGAATGAGCTTATCTCATGGACGTAACAGTAAACAAAAATAGTAAGCATCTTGAGTTTAAATTCACACCACATCGGTAATTGTTCCTAAAAACGATTAGTCCATGGATTTTTCTTTACTTTTAGTTCCACCAACCAAAGTATTTCACAAAGCGAAAACTCCTTACACTACATAGATTAGTTTAAGGCTTAGTGAGATTGATCAGTAATCAAATCCATTACTACAGTAAAACAAAGCAAACTCATCAAAGAAAATTTGATTCCTATTAAAATTCATCATATACATGTTACATTTGCAACTAACCTATCAGATTCAACTTCAAGGGTTTTTGGTCGAGTTTGTACATCAAGTTTGGATGGCGGAGTAGTACTACTCTTTTTAGACTCAGAAGATTGATGATCCAACTTCTGCGAGTCTTTACAAACTTTAGCGATAGCACTAGTATTGGGTCCAACAGTTGATCCTGCAACTGATTGTGAATCACAAAGACGAAGACGTTGTAACAACACCTCCATTTGTGTTGTGTGACCGGGAGATAAAGGAGATGATGAAGCTATCATGGACTCCAAACTTGCACAAGCTCGATACACCTCTTGCAATAATGAAGGATTAAGGTGTGAAAGACAAACAGGACCAGTGAAGCCAGTCGATTTACTAGCAACTGATTCTTGGACATTATGTACACGTTCAAGTAGATCTTCAATTTGACGCTGAGAAAATAATTATGCAACACACTTTTTAAAAGGATATAGCACACAAAAAGTAAAAGAAAACATCAAATTTAATGAAACGTATTGGTAATGTTAGGAAAATAATCTATCATGGTAGCACAACACACATTATCAAAGAATTCAGGCTTATCTCTGAAGTCCTACTTAAATAGAAATTAATCATGAAAATGTAGCAACGAATGATGAATCAATAGTTGCGTAATAAGATCACTCAAATTCAAAGGATAGCTTATTATTAAACAGCCCTAGTGTTTCTTTACAATCATGACGTAGTTGATTGAATAAATGACTGTTTAAAACTTTCTTGATAGGTTATATGGTATTGAACCTTTCGATAAATAGTAAGCGCAAGAAATAAAAAAGTGTTCAAAGTGAATTCTATTCAGTGTATAAGGCTATATAGTAATATTTCTCTTCGATTATTTAACCTACCTTAAGATTCATAAAATAAATACAATCATCTAGTCGCCTTCGTCGAACTGCCCATGCTTCTAAGACAGCTTTTTCCTTAGCCATTAACTCTGTCATAGCCACACGGATCTTCTCTTCAACTTCAGCACGACCGTAGTGCTGGCAGGTTGACGATGTAAATATTTACTGAACAAATCTGAGGTACGCCTAAAATGATCGAAATATAGAAAAAGAATGAACATCATCACACCGTAGTGAAGAACAAATAAAGTAACAGTTCGCAGAGTCATTCACATATCAACTAAGAATAATAGCTCTGAATAATATCAAGCATATTATACATTTGTCACGCTGAAAGCTGTACAAATATCGATTTACCGTGTCAGATACAGAAGCTGTTGGTAAGTAGAAATTGTAAAGATTGTATTAACCCAAATAAATTTACTAAAAATTAAACAAAGGTCGTACTCTTATTTCAACTTAAAGATTAACGACGTCAAATGATGATATCAAACTGGTTGGTGGAAATGTGCCTACTAACGCATCTTTGTTATAGAAGTATCTATTCATTCTGAAATTTCGTCCACTTTCCATAAAAGATGTATGGAAAAAAATCAGCTTTTTCGAACAAGTGACTTTTTTCGTTTTCTGACACATTTCATCGCGTATAAAGAAATCTTAAGGGCAACTATTCTTCCTAAAGTTTCTTTTAGTGACAATGAGCTACTGTACGTTTTCTGAACAGTATAACATCAGTCATCCAACAATCAGCATTTCTTATGCACAAAAAAGGAAATAAAAAATAAGTATCCCAAAGCTCGTGTGTTTTTCAACAAAATAATCTGATAAATTTGATCATTTTATTCTATCAAATGTTAAAAGATCGTATAGGCTAGTCTGCTTTATATAGATGACATCTTTAAACTTCCACAACTAGGGTTAACAGCTCATCCAAGTGTAAACAGCAGACGCTATACGCAAGATATGTTGACTGGAGATTCATCTTGAAGCTTTCGGTTAGAAAAACCCTTACAGAAACACGTTAATGTCACCAAATCAGATGGCTTTTTGCTTAAGACCGAATAAGTCTGTAAGAAATGAGTATTTGAAAAGGAGTAAGAAACATATTCCAACCCAACGTTTTGAACACACATTCAGGAATCCACCCCTAACAATAAACGAACATCCAAAGTAACGATAGACACAATAAAGAAAACTACATCAAAATGAACGAAAACAGGATACATATTCTTTTCTACTTATCAGCTCACCTGGCTAGCATACAAGCTTTCAAGAATGCTTCTTTTGTTCAGCATGCTTTGACGATAACTGAGCCAAATAACTGGCTGAATCTCCACTATTTATAGCTTTTTCATTTTGACACCAATCCTCTTCCCTACGATATTCTTTTTCTAGAGACCATAGGACTGAAGTCACTTGATCTGATGTTCGATACCTAGAAAGTATAATGGGAGAACAAAGAGTAAAACCCAAAAAATTTCGCACCCCAAAAATAAATTATAAAACTACGATGCGGAAAATGCACATAACATATGAAACAAACACAACTAACTACCCTTGTGGTTGACAATTTTGTTTATCACTACGTAACTGTGTGAATAAAATATTAACCTGGGATTCCAAAGATGATAAAAGAGTGTGGAGACTAATGAACAATTCTCTCTAGCTAAAACACAAACTTGGTACAATATGAGCGCCAAGTTATGCGCCATGCAAAATAATACAGTGACACTGAGAAGACAAAAATGTGATACACAAAGAAGACTGAAGGAACGAAAAAACTGGATTATTAGAAAAGTAATCTCAAAGATACATACAAAGAAGTCTTCGCGACTTTCATTTAACTTTTCAATGACAGAAGAATGGTGCTGATCCTAATGCAGAGCAGAAATCCTTCACCGACGCGTTGTGCATCCGTTACGCTGGCAACAAAAGTGACCCAGATTATTCCATGCCACTCAGGGTTACAATAAATGGAGGCAAATCTTTTCAGTAAAACCTACACTACGAATCGTATATCTAGCCAGGTTAAACATTTCAACAGCTTCCATAGATTCAGTATCAAGGGTGAGTGCACGTCGAGGTACATACCAATGTTGTTACAGCACTCTGCACTTTCCCGGTGCAAAGGACATACTATACTTATGGACACTGACTGTTAAGTAATCAGGTGCAACTAAGTAGCTTGTATGCTATTCCGCAGTAAAACAATACCGTTCAAACATTCAACGTCTTAGTAACAAGTTCATACCTCATCCAAAACTGTCGCAGCTATGTCATCGATGGAAAAGTTAAAGAGGAATGGGGAAATTAGGCAGTCGTAGTTAACAACACGCTTGGCTTAGTATAACCAAGAGGTAGCTGTAAATTCTCAAACAAGACAGTTTTAGGTCGGACATTTGCTTCCAACTCACGTTCGTCCTGAGTTTTCGGCAACTAAGGTGTGCCTCTACACTAGTTGAAATTGTCATACCAACCCTTACGTTCAACGTTCCAAACGACTTTTGCTGACACATCATCAGAGACCCTTTCTTTTTCGTGATAGTCTTCTCACCACTTCCCTTTATAAGCCTGAATAGCTGCAGGGCATTAGCTATTGCTGACGCCTTCATCTCTTTTTCAAAGTGGTTACAGCTAGTTGGAATGAGTATTCTCGCATCAATCAGTAAAAACGCAGTCATGGTTTCATCAGCTTTATCTATTTTTCCAAACTGATTCCACTTTGGTTAAGCCGAAATCGAAAGACAGCTGTAACTAGGAATGTAAACATATTTTTTCCTACTCCGGTATTTCTCGAACACACCCATTTACGATCCCCACTTAAGACTTATTTCAGAGAGATTTAAAAAAATATCTGGATAGCTCGTTTTTGTTTCTTCAGATATTGGTTGTACTGATAATGAGGATTATTTTCAAATCATTCAGCTTTTAAATTTTTCATCACAGCTGGAATCCGGTTTGTTAATTTCCAACAAAAGCCTGTATTTTCACATATCAAACAACTCGGTTGGTAGACGAAAGTTTAGTAGGTTAACCTTACCTAATTCTAATGAGGCATACTACGTGTTATAAAGCTGTGCTTTGTATATTCCGCTTGACGCCGTTCACTTTACTGTTTCCATCGACCGATGCTATTCATAATCTTCGTCTCATCGCCTTATCTATTGCTGATTTTTACTAGCTAAAAAAGGACAAATGATAAATTCAGCTATGCCTTATATGTATTTCAGGGAAAACTGACAAATATATTCAGCATCTGGTAGCTAAAACTGTGGCATGGTTCAATTTCAGATATTGAGTCCAAAAGCACTGAAAGGTTATCATCACTGAATCATTCACAAAGCTGTGATCAGAAATTCTTTAACTCAGCGGTTCTACACATACTACTTGCAGTAATTTTCCAGAAATACCATTAGTGAAGGTATCCGCAATATTCACATGTTGCTTGTTTCAAATAGTCATATCTTGTATCTTCGCCAGAATAATGCAGTGTTGGCAGTTGATCAAAAACAAATAACATGTGCCTTAGCCTTACACTCTACAGAGGTTGTTCAACACAATTCAGGTGAGTCAGATAACTTTGAACTAGAACAATCCCATAGCCCGAATATTATTCCTAACGATAGGAAGTATTTCCACTGTTCTTCGATATTCTTTTCATGTAAAGCGAAAAGTCGCAAAAACAAAATAATAAGCTAAACAAAATTTCCAAACTAGTGCACACACATATTATACATAATATTCAAATCGATGCAAGGTATAAGCAAAGAAATAAACGATATTGCCTAAGATAGAATCCTTAAATAGCAGAGAGAAGAAGCAAGAGAAAAGAAGAAAAGGATCATCTTATCATATAAATAAATAGTTTATTGATTGAACTTTTTATCTTTCGCTACAAGCAAAAAGTGGATGCGAAGGGAGAAATACGCAATACTGGACGATGCAACACTGACTATGATTATTAAACACGACTAATACCATAAAACTTAGTAATGTTGCTGCAATCTCACGGTTTCAAATAATATTATGATTATTATTATATTACCGCTACTTTGATTACTATTATTAATAGCAATGGTAGTAGCATCGGTGGAAATGACATATGATAGTGGTTTTCTTAACTTATTCAAACTTGTAATAGGCGAAATAATTAAAAACGAACACTGATCTTGTATAAAATCGTAAGCTAAATTTCAATCCCAATCTGATTCAGTGAATTAAAAAAGAGGAAGTAAAAGGAAGGTCTTGTGAACAAGAGGCATGTATACAAGATCAAAAGCGTATTAGATGATATGAGCTTTGAAATCGGATTTGTCTCAGCAGAAACACCAATAAGTAATGACATGAAACACCTAATCAATTACTGAAATGTGATAGGAATTCCTAAAGAAGCATAAGATTCTTTCATATCTCAAAATAAGGTTTGAAGATGATTGCAAAAAAACCTTAAGTTTAAGGTTTCCCAGTGCTTGATTACAACTTTTTAGCAACATCCTTCAGAAGATAAGACGACTTTACTAAACTGAATATAGTATTCAGTGAATGTCAACATCTAGAGAGGCATCAAGCTGACATGTGAAATTATCTTCCTTTTTAAAATGGAAGAACAAAAGCATAACACAGTAAACGCATGTCTAGTGTTATACGCATGCTGCATATATGTCGGCATCAATTTTAGGGTTTATTCATCAGTAATCAATACAAATATGCACAAAAACAAATCCGCTTTGATAACAACCAATGACTTCCCTACATCAGCAGTGTCATACAAGTATATGAGAAGCGAAAAGTACATGACAATTAAGGGAAACATGTCACTGACGCGTCTGACCATTGAACGCTTAAGGCTAAATGTAGCTCTCTGCTGACAGAGTTAAACACAAGTAAATGCTTTAAAAAAAACTACTATAGGAACAGTAGACATTACGACAGATAGTCCAATTGATATACACAAAATACAATCAATTTTCATGGTTATAAATGATTTTGAGTCTACGAAGTGTAATGAAAGCTAACCAAGTGCCTAAGAACTCAGACAAATATGGTCAGAGCATAACAACAATTCGTACTACAAACTTCCATAGCCTTAATTAATTATTCAACACCAACGCCAACAATCAACGGAAAACTTTAGAGTGAACTTTCTAAAACAATAAATTTCCCTTTGATGATAATAACAAGAGTCAGAACGTCTTAATTCTCCAATACAAAATTCCATCTTAATGTACGCCACGGTATATTCTCAAAAAACGTGGCCATAAAACTTCATCTCTTCTCACGTGTAACACAAAATGCATCTTAACGTAGTACTTGTTTACGTACTAGACTATGAGTTACACTTATTGTGCAGGGTACTATGATATCACCAGAAATTGTAGCTTAAAAGTGGAATTTTTACGTCATTGAGTCACATCACTCCATAAAATTACCCCACAATACAATTTAGTTCCCAAATAATCTGAGCATCTTACCAATTAGTTGCAGAAATCAAAAGTTTGTGACGCTCCTCTGCAGAATAAACTAACTTCTGCCAACGATTTGCCACCGTTTCAGCAACAGACTGATAATCCTTCCGTCTTGGATGCTCAGTGTTCGAAGAACCTGCATGTGTCGATGAATTGCTTGATGCTGTTTGTTGCAAAAAGTAGCTTGCACGTGCAGCACACTGAACAGCTTGTGGATGAGCATCATTCAGAACTGGTTGGAATTTTTCATGGTCGGCATAAAGTGTTTCAGCTTCTGCTAAACTGGCTGGAATTACAGCGGTTTGATGCAGAATGCCTTCACATTGACCTATCCAATGTAACACCTGAAAAATGTCAAAACATATGCGCACTTAACGAACGGCCATTAACTGGATTTCATACTAAATATAGGTATGCAGAAGCAAAAGGAACCAAACTGTCCAGAATGCACTTGATTACCACAGGGGTAAGTCATTCCTACTGTATTACATAAACAGGAAGAATCAACTAGTAATAATAATAATGATAATATGAACCCAAACAGAAAACAATGCAATAAACAGCTGACGCAGTAACTCATGTTAAGAACGGGTATAGCCTAGAAATGAGATGGAAGCAACTGAACAGTTAGAAGAAAGAAAGAAAGCGTAAACGAATATCAAGTCATCGACCTTTCTCTGTACCCAATATGAAAGTGTTAATGTTTAGAGAATGTTAATTAGTTTCCAGTGCACTATGCACCAAGTGTTTATGTAAAAACATGGTTCATTAATCTAAAAATTTTCAACAATGGTTCATGAATAAGAACACCTCCTTATCAGTAGACGATTTGAAATCCTTTGTTGGCACAGTTATATATTCTCAGCGAGGTTTGATCTCCAGATATCATACTTGTTGGGCATAAATCCGCTGAAGCGTGATCTCTTTTTAACAGTATTACAACATATTTTCTAAAAAGTTAAAATAAGTATCAACAATATAGGAATATTATTAAACTGACCATCTATAAAACCGTAGCTATATGCGAGGTTGTGGTTAATTGGGCTAGGCATTTCACTTTTAACAGTGGGCCTGAACCCCATCCTGTCCACCAAAGTCTGAATAGTCAAGTAGTACCACTAGCCCCCACACAGTAGGAGTAGCATATCGCCAATCCCACACACATCCACGTGGTTGCTGAGTGAATTCAGATTTGCAAAGTAAGTTAGATGTAAATTAACAACGAAGTAGCTGTCAATAGTACTGTGATCAATGGCTTATTTTTCCCAACAAACATTCCCAAAAACTTGAACAAAGGATTAATTGTGATATGAAACTGCAATTCAATCCAAATACTGATTCTCCTTAATTATTACATCACATGATCAAAACGACTATTTTACCTCAGCTTCAGAAGCTGGATGGCCATTACAAAAAATACAATAAAGTATGATTCAAAGCTTGAAACAAAGTTGAATAAAGTACGGGATTCCAAAATGAATAAAAAAAAACCATTAGCTAGTTCTGTGTAAGCTTTTTACGCCATATCTTCAAAATTTTACCAATAACCAACACGGCATTGTGAAGCTTTCTTGAGGTAATCTCTAATTGAAGAATAATTTGCCAATAACACTATTAGGACTTGGTTATCGGTATTATACTTATGAACATTATTGTAAACAGCAACAAAGGAGTGACCAGTCATGAGGTATTCTGCCACTCAGTATTAATCGAAGTTTATCAGTATTACACTGGTGTTATAGCACTTCATCCAATAGAAGACAATTAACAGTGAATATAACTCCCTGATAATGCTGCATACTTCAACGTGAAATATACATAAAACACATCGTCATTGAACTACAGTTCCTCTAATTTATATTTCTCTGCACCACAACAACTATTTCTAATGGCATAAAATCTATATTGCTGTGAACGGTAACACTTGAAGAATAGGAAATACTTGGACTTAGATGTTTACCTGAATTACATGATTATGTGGACACTTACTGATTCCCGAAATCGTTGAAATGAGTTCTTTTTGGTCAATGAAGCTATAAACATATGAATCGATGGTAAAATAGACATTTATTTGGTGAAACATGGAACTATGCAGACGGGTCAAATATGTCTGCTACTTGTAATGCAAACTTCGAATGTTGCACGACCTTGATGCCACCTAAAGGGTGAAAAAATGAGTGGAAATGATCTTAACTCATAAACACTGCATATGTTCTGAAAATTGATATTTTCGAGTTCGTTTCATAACTTGTAGACACTTTTGATGCTAAGCTAGAGTTATATGTCCTCCCTTTTGTACCATTCAAGATCGCTCAGTGGTTGTAAATTTTTCGACTACTAGCAACTTGATGATGCCTGTAAACTTGCTTCTCTCATGTCAAATTCATAATTTGAGAATGAAATACTCATTACTGTAACTATTATTATTAATATTAAATATTTGGAATTAACAATCGGAATGCTCGGAATTTGGATTGTAAACCCAATAACCATTGTGGAGAAATAAGCGCAAATTCGGAGCACGGAAAGAAAGCACGTTGGATGTAGGATGTTGATTTAAGATAACTGTGACCACAATAATATGTGATGAGAATTTCAATACAAAAGTGAACATAAAAATGTTTCGCCGTTTCAATAAACACTTCAGTAAATGACAAATTAACGATGAAGATGTTGTAAGGCCAAAGGCTTATGAAATACCTTTCCTTTCAGTATGAAACCGTTAAATATGCTGAGAAATGCAACAGGATTCATGTACTACATTACCAATAGCTAAGCCATTTTCAATACCTTGAATCTAATGTAAGCCGGTACAATAATAAATAATCACACCCAAGTGTGTATATGTGCACAATTATATTGATCAGCAAAAACCCTAGCCAATTTTGGTCCCATTATAGCCATAATAGTAATACATCAAAAGCCGAATAAGAAAGAAGTCATTGATTGAATTTAACACTAAAGTGATTGTGGAACAGCATATATATTCACCTTAGAAACCCAGACATGCTCGTCCCAACACTACGCTAAAGCCTCATAAAATATCTTACTACATAAACTGATGTGTAATAAATAATATAGTTACACAAGCAAACACTGACAAAACGTTTTATAGGCAAGACTTGGAGTAAAATGTACATGAAAACATACAAAAAATATAACACAATAATCCATATGAAATAAATACACATTGTGCGTACAAAAGGTATCAGAAGTAGTACCTTATCACTTACTACTAGAAATTAAATAAAGTGTGCATAAACAATCGTAGGAGAACATTATAAAAGTCTAAGAAAGGTAGAAGGAAAGAAGTTTTCTTCACCCCCTTCAATTCACTCACCTGTCTACTTTGTAACTGAAGACGACGCCAATCGAGTTCACCGTTTAAGCGTTCATTCAACACATCAACTGAGGCAACGACATCGGCAAGCTCAGTCATCAGTCGGTGAACCCTTTCAACAGCTGTTTCTGCACTGTCACCCATACCTGAGTCACTGGAACCAGGACCACCTAAACAAAAAGAAAACAAGTGTTTTTAAAACTGCATTTTTTCGAATGACTACACATGGAAGTTACTAGCCTAGCATAAATTGGCGATTACAAAAGCCATATAAGTACATTTTATGTATAGATAATTGACGAATGTTTAACCACTGGAATTCATTAAAAACATGGGGAATCTGATTAACCTCATACAAATTCCCAGTATGTACATCAACAATCAAGTGAAGTTAATCCAGACCACTCAAACAAGAAAAAAACCACTAAGTAATTACAGTAAAGTAACAAAAGTTCCTTTTTCTGCTGCGAAGATACCCACTGATAGATCCTTAAGTGATTCAAATTGGACAGTGAAACTGTCCAATCCATTCGATTCTTTTGTGAACAGAAATCAAAACACACATTAGTAACATCCAAGTATGGATGCAAAATACGTATAAATATATGAAACGTGATGTCAATATGACTCATATTTACAACTGGTACTATTAACATAAGCTACTGATATTGTCTAGATGCTTATGAGATGTAAATAACACTACGCAATATGACAATGTAGTCCTGAAGAAGTAAAATACTATCTGCAATGAACAACAGTAAGTGAATGTTCCACTTTTACTGACACTGTTATTATCTGCAGATTAGATCTTTGATATTTGAACACTGTTGTTTGAAAAGACACCTACTAGTATTGGAAGCAATAACTTGAAGACACTAGTCTTTTGTTGAAAAATTAAATCACCCAATGAAGATCCCCCCCCCTCCCTGACATTAAACTTACGTGTTACGTAAATGCCGAGATCCGACTGGAGTAGAAATATGGTGGAGGAACGCTGATGACAACTATATAGGTGATGAGATGACTAATGCAATTTGAGGTCCGTGAGATTTCCTGTTTGCGTTTCCTAAGACAAAATATTTCAATGATGGTGTGAGATGGTTTGGAATGGCGATTATTTCACCTTTTTATGCTCTTTGAAAAATATTCTCAAAATCTTGTAATTCTATGGATATCGTCATGTTGAGACTTTATATACAACGTAGAAATGTGGATCAACTTGAGGTGACACATAAGTGTCCTGGAATATATATGACTTGTCCGTACAAAACTCATCAAGTAGGCTTTTTAGGTGTTTAAGGATCCTGTAATTTAAAAAAGAAAAACAGACTAACCTGCAGGAAAATTAACACCGACTGATTCAAATGCTCTTGCTAATTCACTGCCTTTATTCAACACCTCTTCAGCCGTTGGTAAAACAGATAGACATGAAGTTAATACTTCTTCAATAGAAGCCATATCTGGTGCTTGTCGAGGATCAGCTAGCCAAAAGTATCGATTAGTACTACTGTTTTGATGGTTAGAAGTGATATCATTAGACTGGTTCAAATTAGATAATGATGGGATGCTGTGACGTAGACAATCCAATGCTGAATGAACATCAGCCTCGAATAATCGCAACTGTAGGCATAAGTCTAGGCGTACTTGACGCTCCGTTAGCAGTGTAGAGACAGTTGTTCGTTCATTTGAAACCTAAAATAGCAAGAATATTAAGTATCACACAAGATTTTGCACACTTAAACTTTGAACGGAATTGTATGAAATATGAATTATAAGTACACTGATTAATATAAGAGTAAAACTTGGACAGACAAATAGAAAAATCAACGTTAAATTTCTCACACAAGTGCATCGATGCAAATTGCCACACTTCACAATAGTATGCAGAGAACAAGTGAATAGAAAAAGACTGATATCAAAGTAGACAAAGTTGTATGAGAGAACAAACAATTTGCGGATAAAGGTTAGTGTGAATACTCCAGCTTTAGAAGATGTCAAGGAACGAATACATCTGCTTCAGCTATATCAGTAAGAGTACTCAACCACCGATTCCTTTCGTTCCGGGGACCCCAACCAAGTAGTCCGCATCTCTCAACACGACTCACACCAACAGCCAGAGACTTCATGGACTAGTGCCACGTCTTAGCCTGACCATCCAGAACCCTTTATCGAACTAATCGAACTTCCCCCAGCATAGCGCCTCGAAGTAGGTGGTGGTTTGGCATGCGCAACACAATTCATCTCATCCGACTAAGGTTCACTATCTTATCAATCGACTTGCCTTTCTTGCTTAGTACTCTTCATCTGACTTCAACACTGTTCACACTATGATTCCACCAAACGCGAGTAATGCTACGAAGATCCCTGTGATCAAAACTCTGAAATCGCTTCATGTCTTCCTAATTTTAGTAGCCACGTCTCAGCCGCAAAACAGGAAAAAAACGGATTGTAGTGTAGTATACTCGTCCTTTGATAGATATCTGGCCTGATACTGCATTCAAAGTAGTCAGTAAATAACATATTGGATTATTACTAAAATTTGTAATGGTCATCACACAATTAAGAAGCTAAAACCTGACTAGGATATTCAAAATCTCAATAATTTCCCATTTTTCAAACTCACTTTCTGCCAACCTCTGATTACAGTTTAACAATTGACTCACTTGTATCCCCTTTTTTCGGCTTACTAATTACCTTTTCGCACCACCCCATGTAATCATTTGTTTATGTGAACGTTTTAAAACAACTATACTAAAAAGCGTACAAGCTTTTAAACTCATTCTTACTATAATATTTTTTAGCTTTCGACAACAAACTTTTGATTTTCTTTGAAGCAGGTGGGTTATATCCAGTTCACAATAGCAACTTCATCCGTAGAATCACCATCACCAAACCCCGAGCACTTCGCTAACCAACTGCAGATAACCCTTCCTTTTTGATATAAACACTTGATCGTTTATCTATCGCATCTCGATGTGAATATTATACTACCTGAAATCCTTTAAGAAATTTCTTGCGTTTAGTTACTTCACGTCTACTCAGTTGAAAATCAGTTTGATGGATGTCTACATGAAAAGATAGGAGTGACTTATCACAGTGGTTCTCCCCAAAACGATTTTGATAGAGGGGTTGTTGAAGATGATAACTGTTTTGTATAATATACAAGGTGTCGACAGTTTATACTAGCTGTGTCGATACTAGTGAGATTATATTTCTTTTCTTCTTTAACACAATTGCATAATAAGCGAACGATTATCAATGTGGAAGCCATTAAAAAGGAATAATTAGCATATCACCTAATCACCAACACTTCTGAAAATATACTTTTCAACCATTATCAATGAGCCGAAACTTAGAAGGAGATTCCGCTTAATCAAATTTGTATGATGTGAAGTAGACATTACATTAGATGGCCATGATGGCTAACAATAGAGAAAAAATAACAAGAAACTATAGAATAGACGGATGACCCTTACATAAATAAGAAAGAATATTTGTTACGGCAACAAAATCTAACATATATCAAAACTATGAAGCCACTCGAACATACAGAGAAAGTAGGGCTTGACTTACTTGATTTAACACACTTCGTAAATGCGAGACTTCTTCAGCATCCTTCAGTCTGGATATCAAAGCTTCACCTTCTGCCAGTGCACGATCTACATCCTTTTCCATAGCTGCGCGATTTCGATGGAAGCTAGTCAACTCATCTTCCATACCTTCAATAGACGCAGGTAAGTGTTCACCTGGACTGTGTGTTTCTCTTGCATTATGAAGCCAAGCTAGCGCTTCTTTGGTATGCGAATAAAATCCACAGCCAAGATCTAAAGTTTCTCTACGAACCTCAACAGCCCGTGTGAAAGCTGAAATACGATGTTGTAATTCACTTGCATCCTACAAATAAAAATATAAAACCGCATCATAAATTATTCATAATCCATGAGTTGGAATAAAAAATACCAATTCTCCACTTCTCAACAGAATAATAATGCAATTCATCCTAGTACAGGCGATGATTCACTCTTAATGTGTGAGGGCTTATGATACTACCCCGGTTGTCTACACTGAAATAGTCAAAATAGGTTTTGGGTTCCAGATATTTTCCTTTAAAATTGAGTCCTTTAGTCAATGAATCATAAGTCCACTCTTACCCCCCCACACACACACACACAGAAGTACACAGATATATACAACAAAGTAGTTGAGTAGCTCTTTTGTCTATCCGATTGACTGACAATCCATGGGCATCTATTTAATAAACCCCACTCCATTTCATCCCAAGTATACAACTGGATGATGTCATTTAATACAGATCACATTATGAATGAATAGCGAATATCTTGATCAATAGCTGTCACCTTGATATGGTGACTGAGCATGCGTATCACAATGACCCAACGAACTAGGATGGCAAGACGCTTGTATCCTTGAGATTATAACATACCAGAAAGTTCTCTTCAATAGTCGTAAGACAAAAAGCGGTTACCACCACAGCTTAAACTGTTAGGTTGTGCCAGTGAGAAGAGGGCGAAGTAGTGGTGATGGCTTGACTGGGGTGGGGGTGACAGCAGTACGGTATTTCATACAGGTACCCAGTAATGCCGTGCTGATGCTGCCTTCTCTATATGACAAATTAGAAAACATCAACCCCAGAAACAATACACACACTCCTACCCTATGACTTTTGTAGTACCAACAGTAAGGGTATTACTGGTTTTGGAAGAAAACAAGTTTAAACCTCAAATTTATAAATGGGTCGTATGTCACCGGCCTCAAACGGGTGTCCTTTAGGGCTCAGCATTTACGCAACAACACTATTAATCCAATATATTCTTCAGCTACCTCAAGAAGAACTAACCTTTCATACTATGAGCAACCGTGAAGTCACAACCCCCCGTACAACTTTTTCAGCACTCTACTTCCTGCAGATCACAATCAACCTTCAATATCCTTGCCGTATAACCTTTCCCCACGTCTCCAGGTCAATACTCCTACATCATCCCAAATTTCTTTAGGCTGTGAATCTGTCAACAATGATTAAAGTTCACGAAACAGCATACCTGGACTCTTGAAATTGCCCTTAAAACTGAATGTCCCCCCCCCCATGTAACTAACCACGAATTTCGTTAGCCAAAACTCTGGTATCTCAGACCATGAATGTGTCCTGTTTTTGAGACACACATACACAACCCAAGTGCTGTTTATTCACTTAACCTCACTCGATCAATATGATGACACGATTCAAAGACCATAACAATGACTTCACTCCAAAATATCAAATACCTTATTATACTATATGTACACGCTCTAATACCATATTTCGTCTTGTTCATTACCAACTCCCTTCATTTGATTTTTCTGTGCAATGACGAAGCACAAATAGCTGTAATCAAAGCACTTTTGAAAAAGACTCTACGACGAATTCGGCACGCCACCATATATATATATATATATATATATATATATATATATATTACTCTGTTGTATTTCAAATTGTTTACTTTCGTCCAGCATGTGTAAAGTGAATGATTCGTGATCCATTAATATACAGATGAAAAGTATAAATCGTGTATTCACTCAGTATAAAGTACACACACAAGCATACACATGTAATGAAAGTTGTCTAGCCAACTGGTTGTGTATTTTTAACTTGTGTATGAGATAAAATACGAACTCTATTTGACAATTATAAGTCACGCATAAAATCGATACTCTATTGGTTAAGGCAGTTAAATAAATCAATACCAAAACATTCAGTTGAATGGTACCCTGGTACAATAATGTATCTATCCATATGAGCATGTACTCTTCAACGCATAGGCTGAAAAGTACACTAACTGGAATGTGCCGTTACAAAAAATATATGAACTATCAAATAAAGATGCTGAAAAGAAAATATTACTGTAAATTAACTCATGAATAACAAATAACTGTATATACTCATTAGTTGCTAGATAGTAACTAGGTTCACCCCGTCATTAACAATGGTGAGAGAACTCTATTGGGTACAGAAAACGAACGAAATTGGTCAGTGAGCTAAATTATAGAGTGCTGAGAAAAGCTGGCAGAATATCCTACAGAAAAAGGTTACAACAAACGCTACTACTACTAATTATGTGTCTGAATACTTTTTCGCAGGAAACAGTGTTTTGAAGTAGTCATCAGTTTATTACAGAAAAGTGAATATTATTTTACGGGAAACTAACTGAATTGGGTGGGACTAAACAAAAGTAACTAAATACGCAGAGCTGTTGGGTTTATCATAAAAGGCTGGAACACTAAGATCGAGAAAGCAATAGGATAAAGGTCATATATTCAGCACACATATGTAAAAAAAATTTCACTTGACATTGCAGAACTCTAAGTATAAATGAATCAATGTGTAAACATGTGCAGCACTTGGTTGAATTTATCTATATAGATTTGAAAAAGTATTCGTTTGACGACGTTTAAAAGCAACAAAAACTTGATGAACAATATGTCGTTTATCCCTTCATTTCAATAAACAGCACAAAAGTCTATGCAAAGGCAAGGTGTTGCACTTTTAATCAAACGTTTATGCTGACTTATAAGTAAGTACAGGTAGGCCCGTTAAGTACCTCGTTTAAAAATGAAGCCATTTAAACTTACCACATCTCAAAACAGCATGAAAACAAGAAACAGAACAGAAGAGTAAAAGGAAATGATGAAGATGCCAAGAAAATTGGTGATGAGGACTGTACGCAACCACACACCACTGTAGTCGATTTTCATCTGTATCAACTGAACTTTCCAACCACTTTTCACTGGTATCTCAAAGATCACAAACAGACAGCCTACGGCGCCTGAACATAACTGAGAGTGACAGACAGAAACGTGTTTGGGCTCGATCACTTCAAATATTTATTTCCCATCTAATCCTCTAGTTCAATTAACATTGCACGTTGTTACCGTCGGTATTCTGGTACCAGTAAAATACTATTTCCCCTCTTCAACCTCATTTATACTAAAATGTCAAAAACAGTTTCACCACTAAACGAATAAACCTTACATTGTTACATACTTTAATACGAATTTGTGGTTATTGATGCATTTTATCCTCCATATCTGCGAACGATCACACTAAAACCCAGGAATCATCACAAACATAAGTTTTTCCCAATACATCCAGTTAATATACCTCGAGATCAACCGTCAAACTATAGATATGAATAAGGTATGTTGACGTCATAAAATAATATGAAATATATAACCATATCAACAAAAGCTTAGTCTCAAAATTAACATCAAAAAGACGGGTCTTCCATTCATTCATTACACCATAGAACACCTGAGACACTCTAGATATGGTTGCTATTAACTCGAACAAAAGTTTGGATAGAGCATAACAGAAAGTCATTAGTAAATCAGTGGTTATCATGTACATCTATCATGAAAGAAATATTAATGGAGTTTGAAAAAAACCCAACAAACTTGTAATATTTCTTCGGGATCATCTGCCTGAGCTGCTAATTCATCTGCGGCAGAAATTAGCTTTTCTGCATTGGTTAAAGTATTAGCGGCAACCTGATTTGAAGAAAACATAAGTGAAAGAGAAAGTAAAAACTGTATACATTATCGTATATAAAATTCTTATACTGAAGATACTGCAAATTTTACAAATCGACTTTAAACTCCATGGACATAAAATTATAGAATTCTATATCAAAGGTGCGAAGAAATAAACAACAAAACTAATGATAAACAGACAGACAGGTAGACAAATCACTGTAAAACCTTGCACAAAAGTGCATCATTTCAAATCGCCCCACTTTTCAGTAACACAGATGGAAGAAGTGGATGAAAAACAATTATTCTGAAATCATCAAAAAAGTATGAGATGAGAGGGAATAAATAAATGCAATTTGATAAAAATCCTCAAATTTTAGATGATAAAGAGTATTCACTCTTAAGTCAGTGTGACGAACTTCCAGGCAAATATTACTAAGGTTGTATTAAACGTTGATCCCCATCATTTCAAAAATAGGAGCAACGTAGCCTTCATGCCTTAGACCAACAATTAGAGGCTTCAAGGGACTGGCATCATTTCTTGGTCCGATCACCCGTAACCTCTTTCTAACCTAACTCAATCTCGACAAAAAGTTCAAGTCATTTTGAAATACGAACAGTAGAAACTATTGAAAAGGATAATGCTACATAACTATTTATCGACATTTCGTTTTTAATCTGTTGATTTTTTATTATTATTATTATTATTATTATTATTATTATTATTATTATCATTATTATTAGTCCCTTGAGTTCCTAATGAAACATAGGGCTTCAGTAGCACGTCTCCAGTGAACTCTGTTCTCTGAAATCTTTTGAACCTGGCTCCACAACAGCCCACAAACTCTCATTTCCTCCTCGCACGATCTCCTCCATGTCACCCTCAGCTGGGACGCCCAACTCGTCGATTCCCATGTCCCAAGTCGGCCTTCTCAGTGTATGGCCAATCCATCTCCACTTCCTTCCAATGCATATTTGTTCAGCGATAGCTTCTTGGTTGGTTCGTTCCCAGAGCTCCTTGTTACTTATTCTTTCTGGACATCTGATCTTCAGTTGCGAGCCAGTGTAGGCAGTTGTTGATGAATGTCTGTAGTTTATTGGAAATCCCTTTCGTAACGCGCCAAGTCTCTCAACCATACAGAAGCACCGATTTGACCTTGGTGTTGAAAATCCAGATCTTGTTCCACATGCTGAGTGGAGTGCAGAAAATCTCCACACTGGTTTCAGGCTAATCAACACCTGTCTTGCTTTTCCGATTCTGACTTTGACATCCTCGTCTGTGCCACTGCCACCTGTAGTTGAAACAGTGCTTCCTAGATAGGTGAACGAGACTACTTCCTTTAAGTTCCTCCCGTTGATGGTGATTGCAGTTTGTTGTTGGTGGTGGTGGTGCTGGTTGGGTATCTTCATCACTTTTGTCTTCTCTATATTCAACTGAAGTCTCGTCTTCGCTGCCTCGCCTCTTCTGTCAACTTGTTAGTTTTCGCCTGTAGATCTTCAAGTTTATGTGACATCAGATACAAGTCATCGGCGAAATCCAGATCTTCTAGGTTCTTCTCCGCAGTCCAGCGTATCCCCCTCTTCTCACAGCCCCCCACTGTCTGCTTCATGATCCAGTCGACCACAATCAGGAATATTATGGGGGATAGTAGGCAACCTTGTTTCACTCCTGTCTTCACTTCACTTCAAAAGCATCACTGAGCTTCCCATTGTGAATTATTACTTGGCATGTGGCGTCTTCATATAGTTGTTGAATGAGGCTGATAAAGGTTTGCGGTATTCCGTAGTGTTGAAGCAGTTTCCAAATTACCTCTCGGTCGACGCTGTCAAAGGCCTTCTCAAAGTCGATAAAGTTGAGGTGTAGAGTTGAGTTGACTGCCATTCTATACTCTGTTCTATGATGATGTGTAGTGTAGCGTTGCAATTTGGTCCGTACATGATTTATACTTCCTGAATCCAGCAAGCCAGCCTGTTCCGGTAGTAGTTTTGAATCCAGCACATCCTTTAGTCTCTCCAGAATGATGCGGCTTAATATTTTGCTTGCTTTGGGTGGACAGGAGAGTCATTCCGCGCCAGTTCTTGCAAGCACTGAGGTCTCCCTTCTTCGGCAGTTTGACAAGGTAACCCTCCTTCCAATCAATGGCCAGGTACCTTCCCTTCCTTCCACAACTTTTGCAATAGTCCTGTGAGCATGTCCGCTGTTGTCTCTGCGTCTTTTTTCAGTGCTACTGGCGAGATCCCATATGGTCCTGCTGCTTTCCAGCATTTCAGCAACTTTATGGCGTCAAGGACTTCGACTTTTGTTGGACGATTTATGTTCACTTGTAGTTCAGCGGCTGCATGTGGTATTTCTGGATGAAGTGTAGGTGGTGGTGGTGGTCGATTCAAGAGCTTCTTGAAGTGGTCGGCCCACTGTTTCCTTTGTTTCTCTTCTTTCGTAACTAAATTTCCGTTATCATCTTTTATTGGTTTCATGTGTGTTGATCTCTTCCTAGATAGCAACCTAGTTATTTGATACAATGTTGTCACGTCTCTATCTCTCCTACCTGCAGCCTGTTCTGCTTCACTTGCCAGTGTTTCGTAAAAGTGTCTTTTGTCTTTCCTTGCACTCTTCTTCACTTAACTGTCCAGTGTTTCATACATTTTACTCAGTTCCTCTCGTCGTTGAGCATCCATGCACTGGTTTATCTTCCGCTTCACCATCCTCATCTCCCTTCTCTATCAGCTTCCAAGTATCCGTCGAGATCCATTCCTTGTCTTCCACCTTCCTCCTTCCTAATACGGCTGTGCAGGTTTCTTTCCACACCCCCTTCAAAGACTTCCAGTGTTCTTCCACACAGGTTTCTTCAGAAATGTTCCTCGATATCTCCCATTTTGTCTTGATGGCTGGCTGCCGTGAAGATGTCCATTGTAGTTCCGTCCTTCAGTTTCCGAGTGTTGTACTTGAATTGAGGTCTATCACCAGCTTCCTTGAAGGCTTTTAACTTGATTTGGAGGGTTCCTTGCACTAGATAGTGAGTGGTGTGAACCTACATCTGCTCCTCTTCTTGACCTTGTGTCAAGTAAACTGCGTCTCCACTTCCTTGAGATTGAGATGAAGTCGATCTGATTTTTAGTGTGTCCTGGTGTCCGGTGAAATCCATGTCGCTCGCTCTGTGGATATCCTTGTGCTTGAACACACTGCCCCACTCCAATCACCGAATCGTTGAATGCACAGAATTCTGCAAACAATTCTCCATTCTCGTTCATCACTTCACCAAGCGCCTCTCGACCCATGGTTAGTTCTCTTCCCGTGTTGTCCCCTCCCAGTTTGGCATTCATGTCACCTCACCCATTAGAATTTTGATATTGCCAACTGAGGTCTTGTCCAGTGTTGATTGAAGTTGTCTGTAGAATTCCTCCTTTTTCTCTCGCTCTGCATTATTTGTAGGTGCATAACATTGTATGATTGTGACCTTCCTTCCTTTTGAGTTGAATCTTGCTGTCATGATCCTGGAGGAGATTGGTTCCCACTGCATGAGAGAGAGCCTTCGATGCTGTTGCGGACATCATGATAGCCACTCCATAACTCAGTGTGCTCGTGGTTGCCGTCTGGGTGACCGGAGTAGATTATTGATTCTCCAGTTGACAGTTTGGAGAGTCCACTCCCATTTCATCTGCTTTCGCAAATTCCTAGCACTTCAATGTGATACCTCTTCATCTCGTTTGCAATTTGGGCTGCCTTGCTGGGTTCAAATCTGTCGATAAATACTATAAAAACCACATCTAAGCAGAACTAGAGAAAACTAAGTACGAGGTTAACAGCACTTTCCGATCTGAGTTTATATCTCAAAGCCGTAAAGCTTTACTGTGAATACGTTTCTACTGGGTAGTTGGATTATAATTTAATTTTTGTGATTGGAAAAACCACCAAGCTATCACTGTTTCTCAGACCACCAAAATAACCATTTTACCACTAAACTTTTGCAATCGTAACATTATGCTAGTGGAATGGAAGAGGTACTTACTCGTTCCAACTGTAACCATTAGAAATAAAATGAATTCTTTATTCCCTCTATTATTATGTGGGGAAAACTTGTTGACGTATTAGCTGAATACTCAATACCTTATATAACACAAATTGATATTTACTGACAAGTTAACACAAATTGAGTATTGATCGTAATATATGTTATGCTTTCTCTCAGCATTACTTAGTTAGTTATGTAGAAACGAAATTTTCTTTAATTATCAGTAGGTTCAATCATATTTGCGATGCATTAGTAGGTACGCCATTGAAGGAATACTTCACCTGAAAAGGCCCTTTAATGCCATTAAGAAAATACTGGAACTTAAATATAGTCTTACTTCCAAATTAGTCTGGTGTGCTATATAATGGTACACAAATCAATACCTTGGGAACACACAGCTAAGTGGGTTTTACAATATTCACAAACTATCCTTGAATGCTGAGTTTGTTCCCCTCCATCTTCTCTACTGCATACAATCTGATCAGCTGCACTAATTTTCACACAATTCTGACAACATATTAACAAGGCGACCAATACTTGCATCGATACTTTAAGCTCTTAACCGAGTATATCAACTTCGGAAAATTAATACATGGTAGCAGAAATGGCACTCTCCATGAGTTTATACTCTCCCATCAGTTTCTGAATTCAACACAAAACAGAGACGAAACGTGATCTGATGAATCCAAATGCACAAACAACCATACAAGTGATAGGTGTACACATCAACTTAATTCCGGTGAAGGAAGAAACTCATCACGAAACATGTTTTATCGACTTACCGTGTAGCCCATACTAAGACCATCATTTGACACTTACTCCAGGTATCGAAAATATAATATTCTTGAAAGTAAGCATAAAGGACATTAGGACTACAATATAAATATATTCAAAGTGATTTGATTACCATGGTCTGAAGAAACACCGTTCATAATGAATGCAACTGCACTGCTGCTGTGACATATCTGATGAATAAACTGATGTGCAATAACAGTAGGAAAAAATCAACTACCCAGTTGATTTCATCGACAAAAAACCAACCGAAATGTCAATCTTCACCAGATTGACCGTAAGCTAGATATTCATAACGTGCTTTAATAATATGATGAATAAAATTGACCAACACCATACTGAAAATTTTTAGCCCTAGGACACAATTGGTGCATGATAATATACTGAACTGGATTATCAAATAACATAAAATTGAAGACACTACAAAAAACTAATGGTTAGTCATAATTTGAACTATAATCACAGAGAGGATGGAAAACCAGGAAAGTGATGTAATTCATAAGACTCTGCGAATAAGTCGTAGAGTGTAACCAGAATTTGTGAGATTTCAAGTTACTAGTAAGAGTAATTAAAAAAACCAACTACCTGCTTCACCTGTTTTTTTTTAATGCTGATACATGTCCATTCTCGGTCTATGCCGAAGTGGTATGTTTGTTGAGAAGGGACTAAGTTGGAAAAACGTTGAGAACAAATAGACAGAGAAATGGCACCAATCCATGGAGTCTATAGCTGGTAAACTAAGCTGTATTAAACGTAGACCTTCTCGCTCAATAGGTTAGCTAGACAAACGAAGTAAGTGAACAAAAACTCCAGATAGCGCGTTAGCATGTACATCGAAACCCCTTGCATTCAACCAGCAAGCTCAAACTTTATCGCATTAGCGTAGTTCTATTCATGTTGCATTTTAATCTGAATTATGATGACGTATGACTTATTCATGCCTTCATCGCCTGTTAGTTTTATCTTATGGTTTCTTAAGACTTCAACCTCAATACTTTCTTATTATTATTGATTTACCGTCACTCTGCTAATGCGGAGATGAAAATTTTCACTGAATAAAGAGTTTCACCTTTTTGCTTACCTGCACAACTCACACTTGAAATCGAAGTCAAAGTGTTATCCAGATCCCCTCAAAACCAAAACACAGATTACGCTGCTGACTACAAGTATATTAACAAGCCAAACTTTAAACAGTAGTCTCGAAAGATACCAGCAAAACATTTTAAAAAATATATATAATAATGGAGCAAACTCTCTCGAATCCAAAATGCTAAGTGCTTAGAAATCTCCACATAAAGTGAAACAGTTTATCTAGTCTTCCAGTATGCAATATGTTCACTGGAAAGTTATAAGTGTACAACGGGGTCTCATGACAATAACAAAACGATTCTCTCACCTGTTCAACTGCATGTGTGCACTGTACAATTGTTCTGCTCTTTGAATAGACTTTCCCACAGATGTCTGACGTTGCAGAAATGGTTCTCCATGTTCAGTTAACCAAGCTAATACTTGTCCAACATCCTCTTTAAACATTAATAATGCTAATCGAGCTGTCAGGCGACGTCTACGTTCACCGAAAACGCGTTCTAACTGTTTAAACCAAGCCCAGATCTGCGAAAAACGTATGAGGAGTAGTGAAGATAAAAGTTGATTGCATCACGCAACAATTTACACACATACAGTAAGCATGTTTACAAAAAAGAATAAGAAATACATTTACTAACACTGGAAATCTAGTAAATATGCAGCATGAAAGCTAGTTCGTAAACAATGTTTTGTCGCTCCGACTATTATATTACCAATGGTAGTTAGTAGAGTGAGTAACTCATGGACTTCAGCTCCACTTCTAGATAATATCAACCGTCAAAGAAACTACAAAACTGTAAACTAGTGGCTTTATAAGAAAGGAGAGGATGCAATTAACCTTTTGAAGAAACACAGGATATAGTTCTTAGACTATAACTGGTAAGCATGAAAATAATGATTTTCCTAGCCAGTAGGAAAAAAGAAATAGCTGACAATAACAACTGTAAACACTACTGTGTGCAAATAAGGTGAACTTAATGGAAAACAATTAACACCCACCTCATGAACAAGATCTGTACAATGTTTTCGACCTTGTGAATAATCAACAGCAGCTGTTAGTGAAGTATGAGATCCAGTAGGAACAGGAGAGCTTAAATGATTAGCTAAAGCTCGACCATCTGCACAGACTTCCTCATGAGCAGACTGTGCTTCTTGCCAATATTCCTTCAGTAAGGTGAAAACAAACATAAAAAATCAAGTCCATAATTGATAAGAAAATTGAAATAATACACAACTCTGTACGAACGAACAGTTAGTCGAAAAACTGAAATTTTACTAGGGAAGACATGGAATATTTACATGACCTGTAGGATACAGCAGAAAGAGGCGAAATTTATACGTTTGATCTTTGGTGGGGTTATGGATGCACGCTGTTGAGGAGTCTCATACTAGTACAAAACAGCTGTCCAATACCCCCAGGTTTTCAGTGGTTCTCCAGTTGATGTCAGTTCGTGGTGAATACCGCCTTGAAATCCATGTGTTTTCGACAGTTACATAACTATAAAAACCGCAACAGTTCACTTAAGGTGCGCGATGTATTTCGCACAATATCGACATATTTCTGTTGATCTTCTTCTTTTATGCAATTAGAAAGTGTAGTAGCTTTGAACTGAAGCATTTTTGTGTAGAGCTAAACATCGACTTCTTTGTCGGAAACAGCATAAGCTTTTACATCCTACGACAAAGGCATAATATGAATACTGAGTCAGATATTGTTACCCTTTTTAATAATTAAATCTGTTACTGATTGAGAATGAAGGGATCAGTAGTTGCTGATATCAACCGCATGAGCTATAGGTTTTTTGATATTTTGTACCCAGAGTAACAGAAAACACGAAGTGACAAAAATGTCGTCTATGGCGACCCACCAACTTTTAATATTTTTTTTAATCTGTTAGCATTTTATCACTCTATTTATTGTGTTCACACCACTATTTCTGTGCAATGATACTTGGAAGTGAGGAAACTTCTGTTGATTTTCTTACACAAGACTTCTCACCATTTCAGTCAGTACCCGTTTAACCTAATGTTCAGAGGTCCAGTGAATTTGCTGAATCAAACTTGAACAACACTAAAGAAGGTATTATTATAAGACGTATCTGTATGAATTGAATAACATTATATAAAAAAGTTTACAGACATACAAACAGATTTGAAAAATTTACCTGCAGTGTAATCAAGGCTTGATTTAATTCATTTACAGATGTACCATTCACTTGACGCATTGCACTCTCCCAATGTGGACAATTAGCTAAGAAAGATTCAGCTCTAGCATGAAAGCTGGCAGATAGTTGTAATACACGAGAACGATCCTCTAGGGCTGCAGTAAATGATTTCCATTCATGCTCCAACTGATTAGCCTATATTAGATACAAGCAAGCTTTTTAAAAAGCATAAACACCATATATAGAATGATTATTGTTATGATACTTGTAATTTCCCGTTGTTATACAGGGCCGAACTGCTCGACCTCTGCTGGCAGATGGGCTCCTATCCGGATGCCTCGGTACCGTTGATTATTCATGATGTTATATCGATGTTGGCGACAAGCAGAGGAACTCAGGATGCACGTCTCGTCTATTTGGAATTCGTTAGCTGGATGTACCTGCACTTCAGTGAGTGATGTTGTTCCCATGAAACGCGCGTCTCGGATCCCTCTGCTAGTCATCAAGATCAAGAAAGAACGATTAGTAGAAAACTTGCGGCAACCACCTACTTAAATCCACTGTATTAGCAAGAGTATAGTGGAAAAATTCCTAAGATGATTAGGCCAAAGCATGGTGGTAAACCACCCCAGTTTCAAGATGCTGACCTTAACCATGTTAAAAGCACAAAACTCTCTGGTTAAGTCAAATCCGACGAATACTTTAGGTGGGATGAGTCCCAAATGACCGCAATGGCACAGATCCATCTAGAAATTATTTTCATTCACGTTCTCATAGTTTAATCATTCAACACCTGCGAATACTTTCTGTAGCACCACGAGTAATGATATAACTTTCCCATTATTTTCTATCACCTTTTATTCCGATATCCCCTAAGTGGTGCGAATAGTACCGATATCCAATTGTACTATATCCAACGTCATTCTTCACCGACTGACCGACAAGTAGGTCCCTTGTTCATCCTCAAAATTATTATACAGTTGACGTTTTGCGGCTCGAAAGATACTGTTGTGATCCATATTGAAGTCTATGACAATAGTACATCCAAAGACCAATAACACTACAGCATTCCAATTTGACTGAAGAAATTAAATTTATATTGATAACTACTAGCGCATTGTTCTTCAGCGAATTAGTAAAGATGTACGTGTAGAAAAATGTATAATTGGGAATAAATTAGTCATACATGAATGTAATATCGAGTTTTATAACCATTAATTTTTATGTCGAAAACACAATTATGCGAAAATGCAAAGGATAACCATCTGTTACAGAAAGCAAACAAACCTGTTTTAAGATTTGTTGGCTAGCAAAATGGCCTGTATCGGCAAGCATCCCAGCTACTCCTGTAAGACGAGCAACTTGTTCCCGAACGCTACTACATTTAGAGAGAAATTGTCGGTGTTCAGCATGTAGATCAGCAGCCTAGGGAATAAAATCAGGTAACACATGAACAAACAAAAAAAGTTTAATGTTAAAAAAGTGTGAAAATTTGACTTTCGTGGGATAACGAATAAAATCATGGAACACAAAATATATGCACTCCTTAAAAAAATTCATTTGTTTTAACGCTTTCTTCCACTCTTAATTCCCACTAGAACTATTAACATTAGTTGGAAGTAATGACGCTTTAACTGGTAGCTTTCTATGAAGTTCTGTATAGGATGAAACCATTTGATTTGTAATCCGATTTTTTATGTTGGTTTTTATTTATAATTTTTAAAAACGTTTGTGTTTAACAACAATACAACATTCAAAAGTGCCTCATGATATTTTTTCAGGGTTAGCCAGTAATTTATTCGAAAATATATGAATGCTCCACTGTTAACGCTCAGATACCATAGATGTTATGAAAATCTATAATTCTCGTTATAATAAAATTCTAATGTTCGTGACCGAAGACGATTCCTACAACTTTCATGTTACAAAACCCCAACATTGGAGTAAAGCATTGTACTTGAAAAATGGGTGTGATCTAGTCAAGTTAGATAATATTCTGAAATGAATTTTATCTATTCTAAATAACGTGTAGGAAATGCCCAAACAAGCCTGTACATACGAAGGATAGCTAAATACCTTAATGCTTACACTAATCAAGCATAGAAACTGTCAACACGATCAAATCAACACAGCTAACTAGTAGACTGAAATACCCATCAAAGATTCAGATTGATACCAGATGAAGTTAAATATCTCCTTTGAAATACACTCAAGAAAAACTGATACTAAAAAAGTGGTGAGATTATTTCAACTTTTAAGATCTTACAATATGATCGCATAACATTAATCCAGTCCCCTAAGCTTTCTTACAAACATTTCCGTAAACTAATACTTCACTGTAACTCAGAGACAGGCGGATACTTTTCTTTCACCTAGTGGTTCTTTTAATAGGATTTAGGAAAAGCAATAGAGGGAAGTAAATTCATTCCGCCTAAAACTAGGCAGCATGAGAAGGCGTATGTAGAGATGGTCCAGAATTAATGGGTTTTTAAAAAAGTGGATTCGATGAAAGTGAGTAAATCTTATTACACTTACATGTGAAGCTGTTTGACCAATATCTAGATATTCTGTAAGAAACAAGTGACGTTGTTGATCTATCCAGTTAGACATTCCTCTGGCATCTTCGTCAAACAGGCGAAGCTGATAAATCTGTTCCAATCGCGATCTTCCAGCTTCCCACTTCTGCTGAAGACGAGTACGAAATTCATAGAGTTGTGAAACTGTATGTCGAACCTGAGGAACCAACTAACAAAAAATAGTGGAAACAGCATTTAGCTCCACAGCTGAAGAAATAGCGTAACTAAACAAGTTAAATGAGTTGATATAATCTCAATTGAAATCCAAGAGTTTCTGAACACACATAAGCAGAAAGTAACGATGTTTTCAAGCATATTTTTGATGCTGTGGTGCAGTGGTTTAGGTATTCAACTTTTAATTAGCAGACAAAGGGCATGAACTTCACTCCACCTACAGAAGTCTGGATAGCCACTTGCAGAAGGAATTACTATAACATTTCTAAAAACTGACAACTCTATTTCGGAACATAACTGTCCTTAAATGGTTAAATACCAGTACAATCAAAGATTCATTTCAAAAATGGATGCGGAAAGTCTTTTCAAATAAAGCGACGAAAATCTGAATGTCAGCAAGTATGGGTTTTAAAAGTTGGAAATAATCAGCAAATGTGAAATGTACTGACTAGGATTTTCTTCGGTTTCCTATAATATCATGTTCCGCTTTCATTATAAATTATAAGCAAGCTAACTCGAGAAGATAATGAGTCATCACACGGAAAACAAATTTCATTTCAAATTGTACTTTTAAAAATTAGAAGTTATAAGGTTAGAAATGAAAGTAAGGACGCAACAACTGTTTTTAACACTGAATTATTTCACTTGATAGGGAAATTTATACTTTTTGTCATAACATACTCGGTAACTTTGAAGCGACGCTGGTTTAAAAAGCACCATTTCAGTCAATTCAATATCTGTATCACTTCTGAATGATACTTTGGTCACAGAACCATGTACCTACAGAATTTCCTACTTTAAGTATACTTAAAACAACAGGAAATACGCCAAAAGAACTCAAGGTCACGTTAATACACTTAAAATACCAAACAGGTAAAATTTAACATAAGACAGGCACAACTACGTATTGGTTAAAATTATTACATTTTAGACCAGCACACCGAAACCTATTTTTTAAATATGCACTAAATTGTGAAACACGTTTATTTTATGAGACTTTATTAGAAAACCCGGTTGCTTTGGATGAAGGAGGTGAAAGAGGCAGGAAAGTTGGAAAAAGCAAACAAAAACAAACCGAACAACTTACGACATTATAGCAGAGATACTAAGGTTGGTGAATGCTACACGGACGTTTTTATGTAGGATGGCATTTTTATAAGCGACTACTTCATTCGGGTTGAGGTAACTTCCTAAAAATAACTGAAATGACTACACACTCCATCAATTTACTCACTATTCTTAAGATAGGTGTTACTAATCAGTCTGGGAAACCAAGTAGTATCGAAAGCACTGATACGATAAGTGTGGTTTAAAGCCTAGTACACAAACACCTGTACCAAGTTGAGTTGCATTCATTTATTTACGCATCAATGTAAACTAGTCTTACATTCAGTGTGAAAGGTGAGCCAAACATAGTCAAAATTTTGCCCAGGAAAATCTGTATCTTGTTAATGTTTTCTCGTAATACAACTACGTCAAAGGCTTGGGTTGGTTATTAAGACGAACTACAATAGAATGAACATAACATCAGTAGTCGTAAAAAGAGACAAACAGAATATAACGTAATAAAGACGAGCAATAATATTATCTTCAAAACTTAGAGAAAAACTCAGCATGAATGTATCCACTAATGCATTTATTAGACCACACCAAAGAATTCTACAAACATTGACTTCCGTTGTCTAAAGATTGTCAACAAAGATAGCTACATTTCTTTTTTCAAGCTGAAACAATCAGAAACTTCAAAGAGCGGTCCCGTCTCGCTCAATGCACTAGTAGCTCGTTTCCGACTATTTAAATCCAAGTACCAGCGAATAACAGTAGAAATTGGCAACACAACACAGGTATCACATAGTCGGCAAACGCACACAACTCAGAATATCAGCATCCCGTAAATCTAATTCATGCACTAGTTGCGGTCACAAATGAAATGAAAAACAGGGATATTTAAGCAGACATCACATAAAAAGAGAAAAATAAGTCAACGTCTACAATCAGGTTTTAAACCAGAATTCGGTAAACGTTCAACAACTTTGCATATATTCTAGACGATAAACTAAACCTCTTCTGTGTGGCTTAGAGATACTAATAGACCACTGTAAACTCGACAGAAGGGAAATAATTCGAACCAAGTCGTTGAAAGGAGCGTGCCTAACACAATGAATTATATCATAAACATGAGATTAATACGTCATAAAACTAAATGAAATAAAAGGAACATACAGAAAAACTAACGTAAACCCTGGCACAGTACATCAGTTGATATTACAGCACACATATGTATGAGAAATGAAGAGGATAGAAAAAACCACTGAAAAGGAAAAATAAGGTAGATAAAGGAAAAAAGGACGAAAAATGATGAGAATACTGAAGACAACTGAAATGCTGAAGGATGCATACACCAGCGCCATTATGATCGACGCTCAGCCATGTCACCAAAAGTCGCCAACCTTTGATTCTTATTATCTCAAGACTCAGACTAACAGGCGTTGATTGGTCACGAGAAAAAAACCAATTTCATTCTGTCTAGTCCTGAGTCCAGACAGAATCTTATCTATCATATTTCCAGTGTGGCCACCAAGCTAGGAGGCTCAGCACTGCGGCCCGAATAGCTCAGTGGTAAAGTTGCTGACTACAATACTAGGTGACGCGAGTTCCAATCTCAGACGGGACATCAGCTCCGTCGAGGTTGCAGATACGCTCTGCAGACGAGTGTCAACCAGCATGAAACCTAGGCCCAGGGCTTCCTGCCGATTGCCTCCAAGCAACTAACTCAGACTAACATTCAAAGACTCCATCGGCTGGTTCTATATCTTAGCCTCGTCACCCTTAGCCTTCTTCCAGCCCAGTTCTACTTCTGTTAATATCACACGATGAGGTAGGCGGTGGTTCAGCACGTGCAACGCATGTCCACGACACCTCCGTCGTTGAAGATTCACAATCAAATCGACTAACTTGCCTTGCCTGTCTAGTATCCTTCGCCTAAGCTCGACATCGCTCACAAAATAATTCCAACAAAAGCGAGAGATACTACGAAGATACCGATGGTCAAAAACATGCAACCTGTCTATACATTCTACTTTTAACGACCATGTCTCGTAGCACACAACGGAAGAGAGAGAACTGCAGCGCAGTCTATTCGTCCACCGATATGAAGTCGAGCGCCTCGCTGACGATATAAATAGCTCGATTTGACCGATACCAAACAGTCCTTTTCAATCTAAAATAACATTTCACTAGCAACCAAACCATTCGGGTTGATGCAACTACCCAAATGAAGTTAGCATGTTTTCTCAATTCGCTTCCTATAAAACAAGTGCAAATCAATCTTGAAATATGATCTTGCATTTGGTGGGTGAGAAGCATTTTAAACAATTCCGAACCGTGATCCAAATGACTTAACATATTCACCTAACAGGACTATATCATCTGCATACTCTGGGTCTACGAAGGATTCTCCTGCGGCAAGGTCAATTCCTGTAAAGCCATCAATGGCGAAATTAAATGAGAATGGAGATAGTAGATATCCTTGACGGGTACCACTCGACTTACACAACTCGCCTGGTAACTCACCATAGATAGGCTTTAACAAATTCATGGGTGTTTGAGTACGGAATATTAAACAGGATGATGTAATTATAGTGCATTCGTTTCAGTGAAAAACACTACCATAAGACCAGATAATCAACAAAGTTAAATGCCCTCTTTAGGTCGAGAAATACAGCCCAATTAAGACGCCGGTAGGTGTGTGTACTCCAAGACCTAACGTATGGTGAACATTTGGTCGACATATATGACTAAGTTGAAAACCTGTCTGGTTTCCTCAGGTTAAGTGTTCTCAAGCTTCATTCAGGCATCCGATCATATCACAAGCTGAAACCTCGGATATTATATTCATCAGACTGATCCCTTTGAAATTATTACAAAGGTTTTCTTTCCTTTTTTGATGATTAGGACAATCACCGACTGAAGCCATAGGGGATCACATCTGTTCCCCATACCCAGTATTCTAGCTTACTAAAAGTAATTTTCTACCTCCACTTCTTGCGAGGAGTCGTCAGGTGTTGTTTTTATACATTGTTTCAGCCTCGAAACAAGCTTCTTCGCTTTAAGGAGTGTACGAGAGTTAACATTTAGGTTGCATGCAAGTTCGGACCGGGTGCGCAAAAACTTAGATGCGACCAGCTGAACTGTCTTTCCAACTTTCCAGAAACCTGTCCTGATAGATAATCAAGGACCCACTTTTTCATAATAGACTTAATAGACATAGCCTTCTCGCCAGTTTCCTTAATAAGCTTAAATAGCTGCCAAGTGCTACTACCTACTACCAACACCATCTCTCGCTATTCAGAGCTACATCTAGCTGGAATGAGTTTTCTTGCATCAATCAGTTCGGACGAGGTTGCACAAGTTCACTGAATTCTGTAAGCACTTGCATGTAGGGTACCAACTGTGTTAACCACTCTTCCTACAGTAAACTGAATATTACAAAAAGAGGGAAAAGAACTGCTACCATGTTCAGATAAATCTTGCTATCTCTTCACTATGACTCTATGACGGTCTCAACTCTCAGGCAAGTACAGAGAGGTTTCACTAATCTCTCTGTTTCTTGGGTCCGTAAGGGTGCAAATATACACGTAATTACCGTCCAAACAGGCACTCCAGAAAGAACGGTAATTCTCTACCAATTCAGTTCGAACATGGTTCGTAACAGTATAATCTATGTCCACCTTCGGTTTGATGTCGGCCTACACCTAGCAAGCCAGTACGTTTCAATGTACTTGAAGTTAGTTCTGACCAAAAATCAGACAAATGGTTGCCCGAACAAAAGTGAGAGACGATCACAGTCGTCGGTTTCCTGGCGTGGGGTACCGTGCATACCTAAAAGATGATTTTCCAATGGGTTCGTATTATGACTGTCAAAGAGTTTGGCTTCACGTAACAAGACTAACAGCTTTCTATACAACTCATCTTCCGCATCATTCAAAATGCAGTCGGTAGGCTAGTAGGTAACGACTACGAATAAGCAGCAGTGAGGGCAATGATCCTTCCCAGCCGTCACAGGTCTATCCAGTCAAACATTTTACAGATGGCTGATGACTGGTATCCAGCCAATTGCGATTTCTGTTTTGTAACTTGATCCTACACTTAAACCAGAGATAGCACAGAAATAAACAGAGATATACCTACTAACGTAATGTCACGAAAAAGTACAACAGTTTAAGTTGCAACACTACAATACAGGATATCAGTATCAACAAAAATATGAAAAGACAGAGGGAAATTTTTGACAAAGAGTGAATAGACGTAGCTCACTGTAATCAATTTCCAGCGACGTCAATGAGTCTACGTAGAACAGGTGATTGGGAAACTGGTGATAGATGAACAAACAAAACAATGAGTGACCTGACATAATGCTGTGAAGTCAATAACGATTAGATACATGTGATCTGCATTTGTATTTTACCTTCAACAATCATGTCAGACAAAAAGAGTAAATCAACGCAGAACGTCGCAGAAAAGTGTATCGGTATAAATTGTCACACTTTACAGCAGCATACAAAGTGATTGGAAAAAGAATGACGTCAAAATATACATAAGTGCATGGAAGGAGAGAAATCCAAAAATGAAGGTTAGTGAAAATGTCCAAAACCTCAAACATGTTAAAGAGTGAGCACATTGGTGCCATAGTGACCGACTCTCAGCCACGTAACCAAGAGTAAACAACCTTTGATTCCTACTAACTTGAGGACCCCAACCAGCTAGTCTCCTACCATCTACAAGGCGCAGACCAATAGTCGAAGACTCCATCGATTGGTCCTACGTCTTTGTCTCGCCTTATACCTATCCAATCCTGATTCGGCTAATATCGCACACTGAAGTAAGCAGCGGCTTTATCGAGGTTATGAACAATCATATTTCAGTCGTACAGCAGAAAAAAGTGTACACTAAGATAATTTACAAGAACTAAAGAACTGTTGGATCACCTGTCGTAAATTATCAATCGGTGTTATCATATACTAGTTGGTATTTCGCAGGCTAAAAATAGCAATTTAAATCGTCGAGGTGCTTGGCTGTAACACTACAATGCAGACCAATCTTGGAACATTTGGCATTTGTTATGCGTGAAACGCATTTGACGTAAGTTGATAGAAAACAGGCAAAATCTTTTATTACCTGTTGAAAATCAGGATTCATAGAAACCCATGATGTTGCAAGAAAAGATGCACCTCCACCAGATGCACCAGTATTAGAACACACTTGGGAACCGGAACTGACGGATGCGTTGGCACCAGACTGTGTCGCAGTAATACCATAGCGTAACCACGAAGTGAGTCGATCGGCTTCCGCCTCCAGGGCTGGAACTGGCGCTTGAACAATCTATGGGAAATATATTGATAATAAATCAAAGTATTTGAAGAATCGTTGCACAAGTAACAGTAACAAAACTAGGTATGTTTACAACACACAAAATCGCAAAACGATTTATGTGGAAATGAAACCCATAGAAAACCCAACCTAGTTCATTATTTGCTTCTAAAATTAAGAATTAAATACTCACCTTTAAACGTACTGATCGGTGTTCCTCCAAAGCACGCTTGGCTTCATCAACAGTTTCCGGGTTGAGTTTTCTGTCCAGAAAACAATAAAGCTGACCAAACTTGTCAGACATATCATTCGCGAATAAAAAGAATTCTTCAAGACAGCAACGAATTTTGATCCACTCTTCATGATGGTACGGAAGACTTCCCTTGAAAAATGTAAAACCAATTCGCTAAATAGAACTGACTTAAACATATTAGTGAGAAGTTTGTGCATTGTGGAATGGATTAATGTATTATAAGTAAAATTTTACTGCAAAGTTTACGAGATGACAAGTTTTTATTTGGAATAAATATTGCTAAAATATTCCAACTGTTGGTGTGATTACGGGCAGTAATTCTGCTTCAAATATTACCAAAATAAAAACCTATCATTGTACGTAAACTTTGCATTAGAAATTTACTTATATTTGAATTGACTTGACCCATTTTATATTAAAAATGCTTTACCTGAAGATTAAATCTTTGAAGAGTGGCGGAGTAGACTACAAGTTCCATCCATCTATCCAAATCAACATAGGACCAGGCATTACTTACTGCGTAACGGTCTGAGTTGCCACAGCTCATATCAATACATCAGGTAAAAATTCAGCGAGGTGCAGGGTGAAAAAAAATTCAGTCAAAAGAAATATAAAGTACGAAAAGAGAGAAAGGAAGAGTGAGAAAATGAGATTCGGTATAGCGTCGTTAAGATGAGGATAATGTGTGTATACATCTGCGCCAAAGACATCGGTTCTGAGCCATATCACCTAGTCTCCAACTACCCAGTCTGCATCGCCCCACATGACTAAAACCAACAGTCAAACACTTCATACATTGGTGCCATGTTTTAGACTGGTCACCTCCGGCCTTTTTCCATCCTGGAACTACTTCAGCCAACTTTGTGTGACGAGGCAACCGGCGACTAGCATACGTAACACGTGTCTCAGACATTCATCTCAGTCGACAAAGGTTCATAACCTCCTCAACTGGCTTACCTCTTCTCCATAAAACGCATCGCCTGAGCCTGACTTTTGCGTTACTCACTTGGCGACACCACGACACACGGCCCACACTACGAAGGCAACGATGATCAAACACCTGAAGCCTTCTCATGTCTTCCACCTTCAATGACCATGTTTCACAACCATACAGCAGAACAGATCGGACTGCTGCGAAGCACACACGACCCTTAATAGACAATCGGATATTACGGCGATACCATAGGTGGCGTAAGTAGGCAAAAACCAACCAAACCTTTTGTATCCGTGCAAAGATTTCATCGGCCACTGAGCCATCAGACTAAGGCTGATCCTACTTCCCACGTGAGTGAAGTGGTCGACACACTCAACCACTAAATTCTCTATTCTTAGCCGTGGAACCATTTAAGACCGATCCCGGAGCAATAATTTACATTTGGGTGGTAAGAAACGCATACCAAACATTCTCAAATTCCCACTTAAAGTGTTCAGAAGACTGCATCTTGTCAATTTAATTAACTTCCTCGGTATGGGTAATAAATCCAGTGCTATGTGCTATTATTTCTGAGTATTCAGCCTAAATCATATTGTTTAGTGATACTCTATTCCATACAATTTAAAAAAAGTTGGAAAGCGTAACAGAAACCAATTTTCCGACAGACATCGTGTTTTTTGCATCCTTTTTACCTGCTGACAGGTCAACAATGGCCAATTGATGAAGGGAATCAAGGTTAGCAATTTCGAATTTTAGAATTCATAATCCAGTAAAGAACAGTAGAAAAGACCTAAGTGTTGGGCCGTAGTAAAATAACTAGATGCTGGACGATAATTTTACAAGTACGATGAATGTCACAAAAGTGAGCAAGATAATCATGAGCAAAAAATAGTAATAAGATGAAACAGTAAAACCAACGGATTAAAATCATTTTCATGACAGGAAAGAAAAGGCGAGAAAGAGGATGATGTAGTCGTAAGTTAATTACTGAATCTTTCGGTGAAAAGATGGGGCTTTAGTCTTCTGAAACAATTACCATTTGAGTCAACAAACGCTTCCACCAAATCTTCTGAAGGCTCTACGGTTATGCATTCATAAATATTACTACATGGTAGCCAGAACAAGATGGGGTGTGAAACGAGGCGAAATCGAATTAAACTGTTCAATGATCCTGAGGGCATTTTCATATCAACGTAATCTCACTCTGTAAGTTATTTCAATAATGCAAACAATGCTCACATCAGCCCAAACTGCATTTGCGAATTCATTTGTACTTGCCAAAGTAGGTATATCAGGAGGAAAGAGAGATGGACAGCTAGTCATCTTAGCACTCCAGAAGCCTACGTCCCAAAGAATGGATTGGTATCAACTGCTTAGTGGCTCATCATTTTCCTAGCATGGGACATAAGTATACCAGCCATTAGTGAACACCTAAATTCGACCTTACCTTGGTTTGCAGTACATGTGCTACACTAGACTATTGAAGTCGAGAAGCATGAACATAAACAACTACTCCTTAGCTGTGACATTTGCGTAGATAATGCGACCAGTTATGTTCTAGATTACTGAGAATAAGGTTTCTACAAGCCGTGATCCTGCGATCACGCTCAGAACATTGGTTAGTTGTTTGTGGCTTACTGGTCCGAACACAACAATCAGTAGGCTTAAACACATACTATACTGTTAGTTTCAACTAGATATTGCGTTCGCAAAGTTTTGCAACACAAGTTCACTAACAGGTGTCCGACACTAGCATCATTTCGCAACCGAAAGGTGGCACTTGACTCCATCGATCGACCAGCCTTATGATACTGTCACCGAAACGAATGCACTATAATTACATCATCCTGTTTAATATTCCGTACCCAAACACCCATGAATTTGTTAAAGCCTATCTATGGTGAGTTACCAGGCGAGTTGTGTAAGTCGAGTGGTACCCGTCAAGGATATCTACTATCTCCATTCTCATTTAATTTCGCCATTGATGGCTTTACAGGAATTGACCTTGCCGCAGGAGAATCCTTCGTAGACCCAGAGTATGCAGATGATATAGTCCTGTTAGGTGATGTTGACAAGATGCACAGCCTTTTGAACACAACTGGCAACCTGAGAGCGCCTGGGACGTGTTTCTTGTCACCTAAATGCACCTTTTAACCCCAAATGATTTCTGGTGATCCCTTATATAGTGTGCTACAGTTTGCTCTGTTCTACGTTACGAATGTGAAACATGGCCATTAAAAGATATGAGAAGCCTACAGGTTTTCGACCAACATTCCCATCATAGCACATGTGTCGTGGTGTCACTACGTCAGTAACGTAGTAGTCAGTCATAGTTTTAGAGAGAAGAGAGTTAGATGATGCCGTGAACTTTTACTGACTTCAGTGGCTATAGCATGTTTCGTATGCCCAGTTACGATGCACATTTTACGCAACAGTAGCAGGTTCATGGTGGAAGGTTGGAGGTGGCCAAAGTAAATAATGTCATCAAACTGCTTGCATGAGCTATATAAGGAAATGTAGACTTTCTGGTTGGGTTTCACGTTACAACCAAAACTGGTGTTTGTAGATTCCAGGTGGTATGGCTGAGAACTAAACTGTGTAGATGCACCTACAGATTTTCATCTTACTAGTCATACTGAATCCCAGTATTCTCCCATTCCTCCTTGTTCTTTCGATTTACTAACTTATACCTCCTCTCTTCTTTACTTCTTCATTTTATCTTGGTGCATTCTCGCTTGGTGTGGTGGTACGAAATGTGATAACTTGGACCGTTGTCTAGCAATGTCTATGTAGTCAGTGAAAGACAATGCCACTGACCCTAAAAGTGACAGACTAGTGCATGAACTCATGTAGTGCTAGTATCACTGCCACTATTACCACAGGTTCTTTAAAAAGTGAGTCAAAGGTTAGTTCAAAATGTGGTAACAATCCATAACGCTCTTGATAAAGCGAAACTTTTAGTTAGGGATTTTGTGGTTACATCGGGAACCATAAGTGCTTGAATGGATGTCGAAAGAAGCTGAAATGCACTCAGCAACCATGTGTATGCCTGTGCAGTAAGCAATGAGTCACATCTACTGTGTGAGGGTTAGTGATACTACGTGGCTTGCCAAACTTCGGAAGGTGGAGCGGGAGTCAAATCCGTGACAGTAGTTGAAAGTCATCTCCCTTAACCAAGGAGTCATAACTCCCGTTAAACATTAAGTTTGTTGCATCGCTTAGAGAAAACATTCCTGTAGCTAATGGGTTGCACTGCGCACCATAACCAGGTACTGCTTTGACTCAGACGATCAACTATGCCATTACCTTTATTATTACGCTTGAGCAAATTGTAACTTCACTGAATATTTGCACTAAAAATATCCTGATAGACTCGAACTAAGCCCCTGAAATTTTGTTATCGAATTAACGTTTAAACGGAAATATGGGGGATCATGTATGTAAAATTGTGCACAAGAAACAACCTACAGGGAAAAAACGACGGGAGCCCCACTAGTGTAACTATACACGCATAAAACGACTACAAAATGCATCCACAATATCATATATTGGACTGTCTGAAATTAGCTGTAACTACTATCACAATCCGCTGTCTAAAAACAACCGAAGGGTAGACACAGTGTATGAAGTTGGGGACCAATGCTCTAATTATTGGTTGTTGAACTATCAGATTCCATTTGCAACCCCATTCTAGTTGCTTTCCGTTAGCAGTTAATTCCCACGCGACATATACTGATCATGTTCTAGGACGGTCATAGTTCACTGAAACTGCACATCTATGGTGCATACTCAAAATATCAGATAAGCAACTACTGCTGGAGGTGCTAGCGAAATCTGATAACAATATAAGAGAAATGATGCTTATGATACTTTAAAACTATTTCGACTGGAGTAGCGTTACGCAGAACTACCCACAAGAGTTGTGGGCAGCAAAATAAGTTACTTTCTCTTAGTAAATTTCAAAGAACTGTGCTGACAATGTAATACTGACCTCCATTTCTGCAGTTAACTGACTTGGGTCGACTTCACGAAACAAAGCATCCACAGACACTAACTGGATTTCAAAACTGAACTTGCCAATCGCCAACTGGGCTTTGTGTTTCTCAAGAAACTTGTCAGGCTTAATTATGAATGTCAAAGCCACATCCCGTCCGAGACATTCTTCCAAGACCTAAAACGTGATAAAATCTAAGTGTGAAGAACTTGCCTTTAGAATTGGTTTGACACTGTGCCATGTTGTTCCACTCCGCATATCGATTATAACTACGAAACCCAATCGCTTGACTTTGTCATCAGGAAGGTATGTTAGGTATCTCACGAGGACGTACAGATCCTCAAGAGGAATTTCATCAGCCCGAGAATTTGAAGGAAAGCATAATAATGGTCCACCCCTTCTTGATCTACCACCAGGTAAAAGTGCGATTTTCTCTTTTAACAAAGGGATGAGGTCTACTGCACGGAGACTAGTCCCAGACTTGTGGCTTGCACGGGAACCGCTACTGGTACAAAAACTCCCAGAATTACTGCTGACACCACTTGTTGATGTAAGAGTATTTATGCTTCCTCCGCATGTACTACCAAGATTCTGTGGACTTACGGAAGACCTGAAAGCATTTTGACTGACATGATAATGGTAGTGTTCAGAGTTGGGTTTGTGAGTTACATGTGGTTGAAGTTGTGGTCTGTGATGATGCATACGTGAATCCGGGAAATTGGGCACGTTTCCGTGATGAACAACATTAGGTGTTGCGTAATTGGAATTTTTGTATGGTGCTAATGACAGCTGTGTCTGAGTAACAGGCTGAGGATTGTGAAAGCGCCGTGGGTGTACAAACTGGTGAGTATGGTGGTGAGAATGACATCGAACATGCTTAGATCTATTGGGACGATAAAATTCGAGAACTTCTGGATCAAGACTACTATTAGCATAATCCATCATATATCATCCATTTGGTAATTAAGCATTGATTGGGAAATTATTTTCCAGTGATAAAATATTTTTTGGGACAAAAACTAAAAATTAAGGATATTCTCTTGACCCGATAACCGGTTCAAGGAGAAAACCATCACCTGAAAATTTTTAGAAACAACCGCGGCACGATGGGAATAAACACGTTCAACAAACGAATGGTTCGAAGTTATTCGCAAGTGATGTAAACTTTATATAGACTAGCTTTCCCGACTAGAGGCTTTGGATCAGTAGTTCTTGTGTCTGAGAGTCTTTACAAGTAAAACAGACACTGAGTAAAAAGAAGACAACTGATTACAGTTTATCGTTTTGACTAGTATCGATACTAAGCGATGATTAGAGGTTAAATAAAAATTTAGGCAGCGAGATTAGGTCTTGCAGCCCAGTTGGTAGAGCGCCAGGCTGGAAACCCGGCAATCGCAGACTTGTATCCCCCCCCCCAGCCTAATTTTTCAATCCCCCTTCAGTCATCACCTAGTAACAATAACAACTTAGTTCGTAACCTCATAACAAAGATGCCTTCAACTGCAGGTCAGAGTCTGAGAGGCTAAGAGGTATCATGCAGCAGAGGTAATATCCCGCATTTCCAGAGGTGAAGATTAGTCCCCTGTAATTTGCCTAGTGGTAAACTCGGTAGTGAGCTTATTGTTCTCATTTCTGATTTTGCTTTAAAGATTCACATCACTAGCTGGAAGAAGAATATCAGAAGGTAATTAATCTATATCAATTCGGAACAGTAGAAGTCGATAAAGTGAACCCTTTGGTAGTGGACTGTGGCACTTTGTTCCTCCGAACGCAGCAGAATTTTCTCATAACTTGAAAAAGTGATGGCTTAGATAGGATGGCAGTAAACAGAGGGATGGAAAATCCATTCCAGTTGGCTATAACCTGTTGACCAGGCATCTCCGGTTTACACCAATAATCGCCTGATAAAAATCGAGGTATGTTGCATGTCTTCCAACTTGTTGATCTAAAAGTTGGTCTGACCATCTATCACGGTCAGCAGGTTACTGATACATTATTAAAACCATTCCGAAAGAGTAATGAAGTTGGCAAGTATCACGTAGTTGAGTTTGCCATCTTAAATGAATGACTTTGCTACTCTGGAAGGTGTGGATAAGATAATCACAGGCCTGCGGTTTCTTGGGCTGCTGGTAGACCATCCATTAGGACGGTCAACTCCCAACGTCTGAGCACTGATCAAAAGCAAATGCAACCAATCAACAGCGAATTCTGTGTCGAATGAAACCTCTCGCTTCCGGATACCAACAGATATTTTGTCTGAACCCGTAAACGTATCTCTTTCTAGAATCACAAGCTTACGATGGGCCCATACCAACCTAAACCAGTTGTCAATTAGGCAGTTCCTATGAAGTGCGCTTGCTCATGTGTAGATGCCGTGGATGATGAGAAGGTTCAAAAGTAGTGATCCACCAATATGTCTGCCTACCGTGACCAGTCAAGCGGGAGAATCCTGTTTCGGCTCAGTGGGATGGTGCTCCGCAGAGAAGAAAGCCTTTTGGACTCGATGCGAGCACATTATTGAGCTGCGATTGTTACCGTTGTTCACTGAACTTCAAGACCTTCATACAAACATTTCTGAGTTCCTCCAATCATTTGTAGCTAGGCTTACAGCTATTTTTATTTTACTCAGCTTGGTTGTTTCTTCTTCACCTTTAAGACGAGAATGTACTTTTGGAATACCCTGAGCTATTTGTGACATTTTTGACCCGAAAGTGGAACTCACTAGGCCACAAAATACGTGGCTTTACCGTGCATCAGTATCCAGTAGGTATTTATCCCCTTCCAGACTTGGCCACCTTCACTATCTATCTGTTCAAGGAACTTCTGAAGTGCTGCACCATCAGCCACCTGCCATCCCGATTATTTTCTTGACGTATGGAGTCAGCTTCGTCTCACAGGCACGGAGGAAACCAATAGCAACGGAATCGTTCTTACCCAATGGAGTAAACGCTGTGGATTTGTCCACCAAGAATCCCCCGCCTATGAGAATACAGTTAGTTATTTGTCCACTGAGTTCCTGAGTTATTTGGTGATGGTTAATAAAATTTCTCTGAAAAGTTTGATGGATCATATCCTAGTGGAAATATCACCTCTACTGTATATTTGGACCACGATATTGGTCTTCACATTAAAATCCCACAGAACCAAAAGATGCGAAGGGATTAGTATGAAAGGACGGCTAATAGCGTCTAACACACAAGTATAATAAGGACCGTTTGCAGGCCGCGCCCTACAGATAGCTCCCACCAAGCAACCTGCAGATTTACATATTTTGCAGAACACAGCCCCGATTTCTCTACAGTCGAAACCTTATTCGTGTGGTTAGTGAACCCCAAGGGAAGTGAGCCACCCTGGAAACCGATACCTTAGTTTTCTTGTCTGCCGTGTGCTGATGATTATTTGCCACGACCACTTTTTTTATAGACCTTGGCTTTCCCTCTTTTCTTTCCGCTTTATCTTCGGCCTGACTATCCCAATTGTTTTATCAGGCCTATCCATAGGCTGTCAACTTGGACTCGTAAAGTAATGTGGATACCGTAGGCTCTAGCCAAAAGTCGGCTATTTTTCTTTCGAATAACATTTTTCCGGTCCTTACTGACTTCACCCTTCTGAGGCAGGCCCGTCACATTTGAGGCGTTGCTAGATATGACTAACTTGTCGAGGGGCTCAAAGAAAGTGGTGGCAATATTGGCGCAATTCGCATCAAGCCATCAGAAAAACTGTCTTTGTGGCTTTTTCCTCCTCTGACCGCCAGCGGCCCATGATTTTTATCTCCTACGAGATCTCGTCACTTTTTTGATGCGTTTTTTTCAACCAACCAACATTTTTCATGCGAGTCCCACCGATAAGTCAATGACGTCTCCGAAATATGCATGGTTTGCAGTGCCCTGGAAACCAAGATTTGCTTTTTTGTCTTCTTGGATCGCTATTCACCTGTAAATGATTCGTAGTATCACAGTGCACAAAAAGGTGACAGACGTTCCTGTCGCACATATTCCTTACGTCAATTTTCAAATCGTTATCCAACTGATGGAACAAAGTTTCAGAAACCAGTAAGTAGCAACGAAAAGGCCGATTTGAACAGAACTTGCAGAAAATATCCAAACTTCAACCCCAGTGCTCAAAGTGGTTTTCAGGTATGATGGGTAATGCCTGAGTTGCGCTGCTACTAAGCGCGTGGCCAAAAACACTAAAAGCATACTTCCCGTTGAAAAGTAGACTGTAACTCGGAGATTTCAATGTCGTAAAAACAGAAAAATAAAGTTTAATTTCGGCATGCAACCGTAGTATTAGAATAGGTAGTTAATTTTGAGGTTTTGTTTGTTTTCTTTTCCCCCTATTTTTTGTCGAGAAAAAGTGAAAACAGCACCAGTTGACCATTATGGCTGTCATTCGCTGATGATTGCCCGCAGACAGCTTGCAGTCGGAGTGCCTGCAACTAAACTCACCGATTCTCATTTCCATCCCAAGCTTCCACTTGAGTGCTTTCACTGACAAGGCCATCATTAGTGCAATGATCAAAAGCTGTCGAAGAGAGAGAGTGCAAGCGTTCCCTGGGTAATAGGTCCGTACAATTAAAAGATGTGATTTATGGAATTCTCACAGTTCTTATAGCTGTCCTAAAACACCGCGAAAGATAAAATATAGGCTTTCAATAGGTTCTATTCTGGTGATACTGTATCTCATCGCCAGTAAGAGCACGGGAGGCTCCTGGAATGCAATTCATCCCTGCCATAAGACTCAGTGTCTAACTTTGTTTTTAAAGAAACAGGTCACAACGGGAACAAATTCCTCAGGAAGAAAAGTGAAACGTTTGCAAATTTTAGGTACTAAGGCGTTAGCGCAGACATCCCCTTGTGTCCCCTTATGCTCTACGCTTTAAGGATGACTCCGAAGGTTAGGTTTCTGATCGAAAACGAAAAGGTTCGTAGAGGTGGAAGGCTTCATATTTGACGCGATACTCTACAATCATGTCAACCCGATGAGCTCTTATTGCACATCATGTTGCTTAGGAGAGTCTACGTCAACAGAGCAGTGTTTCTAACCCAGTTCGGCTACCTTTTCAGTAGCCTTCTTCTACCTCCTGTCCAGGCGGAAAGCGTCAACCCTCGAGTGATGACCCATAACGAATAAATTCTGCGTCGGAGCCCCACTCGTAAGCAATGCATACATTATTGTAAACGTCTAGAGTTAATCCCCAAACTTAGCGAAATAAACCTCTGCGAAGGGACAAAGGGTGTAAACCCAAAATGGATTCATGTGTCAGACATTCATATTCAACTCCCGAAAGATGTCGTCTGAGACTGAAAACAGAGCAATGTTTAAGCGTGGTTTCTTAAGACTAAAAGCATTATTGATGATTCCACACCATATGTGTTAATTTGATTCGTGACATAGTGATGTAGTATTTTTTACTAGATGACGTTTGCAGCAGAGATTATTGCTCATAATCATATCATACATTGACACGATTAGGAGAATAACAGAAACCAATTTTCCGACAGACATCGTGTTTTTTGCATCCTTTTTACCTGCTGACAGGTCAACAATGGCCAATTGATGAAGGGAATCAAGGTTAGCAATTTCGAATTTTAGAATTCATAATCCAGTAAAGAACAGTAGAAAAGACCTAAGTGTTGGGCCGTAGTAAAATAACTAGATGCTGGACGATAATTTTACAAGTACGATGAATGTCACAAAAGTGAGCAAGATAATCATGAGCAAAAAATAGTAATAAGATGAAACAGTAAAACCAACGGATTAAAATCATTTTCATGACAGGAAAGAAAAGGCGAGAAAGAGGATGATGTAGTCGTAAGTTAATTACTGAATCTTTCGGTGAAAAGATGGGGCTTTAGTCTTCTGAAACAATTACCATTTGAGTCAACAAACGCTTCCACCAAATCTTCTGAAGGCTCTACGGTTATGCATTCATAAATATTACT